ATAGCAAGTACATCAACCCCTCTCCTGTTACAACCGAGTCAGCAAGGCGGCGGCGAACACATGAGTGGAAGGAAGGCACTCATTCAGGTCTATACCTGGCGGCTCCGGCTGATCAACGAAGTCTGGCATGAAGCTCTGCGTTAAACCAAATTTTGATCTGCTTAGTCCCCAAGATATAACATTATATTCTATCAAATAAGCCTTTATGTTAGAAAGTGGATGAACTCCTCTTGCTCGAGGGTAGTTCCGGAGGGCCCCCCTGGACTCCGTGATAGGAGCGATTTGCGACGTTCCCCCGTCCAGAGACGGCGGCACCCGCCCTACGTCACTCAGCGTCCGTCGATGATTCACTTGCAGGAGCGGCCCCCAAGGCCTGGCGCGCGAAGTGCCCCCCCCGCCCCGGGCCGCGCGGCCTCAGTTTCCCCGGTGCCGAGCCGGGCCCGGCGGGGGCGTGGTCAGGCCGAGCGGGCGGTGGGCCGGGCCCGGTTACCTGTGGAAGGAGACGGCGCGCTTCTCCCCTTTGCCCTGGCGGTTGGAGCAGTTCGCGGCCGCGCAGCAGATCACCATCTCGGGCCTCGGGCCGCCGCGCCGCCACCAGGCTCCGGCCCTCGCCTCGTCGCGCCGAGCCTGGAGCGGGACCGCCCCGAGGGGAGGCGCGCGGCGACACGGCTGCGGGACGTGGGAGCCGGCCCCCGCGGCGCCGTACGGCAAGATGGCGGCGCCCGCCTCCCCGCCGCCGGTCGCCGGCCGTCGGCACGATCAGGGTCTCAGGCACCCAGAGTCTCAGGCACCCAGAGGGGCTCTGCCCGCGTTTCGAGGCTCTGGGGGTGAGCAGGGGCACCCGGGCCGGCGGTCCGTACAGCGACATGACGCGCCGACCCGGCCGTACGGCAAGATGGCCGCGCCTGCGGGTGCGGGCGCACGGCGGGCTGACAAGCTCGCCCCGAGGCCTCTCTGCCCGGCTGCGCCTGCTTCCACCGCCCCGGTGGGTCGTTGCTGGGCTCCTCGGAGAGCGCGCCGGAGGCCGTCGGGGTGCCGAGCGCACGAGGAGGTCGCTCCGTGCCGGACTCCTCCGTACGTCAAGATGGCAACCGGCGCACATCCGCGCGCACTTCCGGCCCCGCCCGCGCCCCGGATTGGCCCTGGCGGCGGCCCGTCGCGTCGCGCTGCGGGCCCGTAGGACCGACGCGGTGTTCAGTCGGCTGCCGGAGGAGGAAGATGGACGCAGGTAAGGACCTGCTGGGGCGTTGGGGACCCGCGGACGGCGCTCTCCTGGCCCCTCGGCTGCTGGGGAGTCTCCCGGCGCGGCCTGGGCGCGCGGAGGCGGGTGGGCGGGGTGCGGCCCGGGAGGAGCGGGCGGGGCGTCGTCGGTGGGGAGGCCGGCTGGGATCTGACAGTCCCGTGTTTGCGGGTCTCGGCGCTTCTCCAGCCTGCCTGCAGCGCCCGGTGACCGGCCTGGCAGGCCCAAGGCCGGCTCGGCCGAGAAGGGGCCGTGCGGCGCCCGGGACGGGAGGGCGGGGTCGGGCATCGCTAGGGGCGCGGGCGGTGGTAGGTCCTGAAGCTGCGGTCGTGGGAAGCTGTTGCCTCTGCCCCGCTGGGAGTTACGAAGTGGAAACTCTTTAACTTCTGTAAAGTTATGTCGGTGGGCCGGAGGCAAGAAACATGCTCAGCACTCTCAGCACACGCACCGTGTTTGGGTTTTTAATTTTTAAAGTAACCAATACACTACTTTTTCTGTGACTTAAAATAGAAACTGGAGCCATCTTTTATATCATAACTTCTCGGGGTCCTAATGCCAAGTGGGGTGGGAGGGTGTATGCGCACACGTCCGTGTGTGGGGTGTTCCCGCCTAGTCCGCTGTGCTTCTGCAGCTTAAATTTTGCTGGCAAGGCATTTTGTATCTTTGTCCAGGAGCCTTGAAACCGTTTTTACCTGGACGCTCTTCTCCATTCCATAGTTTTAATTCTTTCACTTCCGTAGGGGGTGCCACCCCTCACCCCCAGTGAAGGAAGACTTTCATCTGGGTTAATTCCTCCTATCCCATGGTCTCTGCTTCGTTTTTCTTTTCCTGGCAGCTGTAACATATATTTACTGAAATCTCCGTTTGGAAACTGTAAAATAGACGTGTATTGCCAGTATTTCAATGATTTGTGGCATTTCCTCACTTAAGTGGTGGGTGGCTGGAGGAAACAGTAGCCCCGACTCCCAAAGGAGCCTGTTAGCCACACATTTTTTTGTCCAGTTCATTACAAAGAAAAAGGTACCGGACACTGTTGTACTATTAGCCGGGGCAAGGGGTAGAGAAGGAATAGAATTACTTGTCCACTTTAAGTTACTACTGCTCGATACGTAAAGTCAGTCATATGAGAGAGTTGGTTTAGGTGGAAAACAGTTTAATGGTCACGTTACCTGAAATGTGAAAGTCATCATGTTAAAGTTGGGAGTAACCACCCTGGCTGGGTGTATCAATTGGTTGGAGCATTGTCCCATATACCAAAAAAAAAAAAAAAAAAAGGTTTCAATCCCCATTAGGGCAAGTGCCGGGGAGGGAGGGCAAGCGGTCAGTGTTTCTCTCTCACATCAATGTTTCTCTCTTTGCCTCCCTTCCTGTCTCTCTGAAATCATTAAACATATCCTCTAGTGAGGATTTGTTTTTTTAATTATAAACTTAGGAGTAGCCATGTGATGATACCCTAATGAGACACTCAAGGCTGCTTCAAAGCAGGAAAAGTGTTTGCCTTTGAAGGCCTGTGTTGATGCTGATAAAAACGTATGTGACGGTTGTAGGGTGTGGTGGGGAGCTTTCTTCTGACCTGACGCTTACATCCTTTTAGGGGTGATTAATGGCCCACCTTCCCCTGATCCCTCTGTCCTTACAGAGTCTGCCTTCCTTGATCAAGTGTTCTGAGATTCCTACTTGTTTTCACAGTCATACATTCAGTAAACCACATTTATTATTGTGCAGAAGGTTTGTGTTGGGCATTGTTCTAGACCCTGGGGTTAGAGAAGTGAAAAAAATAGATGATAACCATGCTCTCCTCACATTCCAGACGTGACACCAGTGGCATGGGTCATGTGGAAGAGTGATGTGGGCCAAGCAGGGGGGTTGGAGTTGGAGCCAGGATGGCCAGGGAAGGTCTCACGGCAGAGGTAAGTTTGACCAAGACCCAGAAGCAATGGAGAAGGAGGGGCAGGTGGCATGCAAGGAGCAGCAAGTAGGCCAGTGTGCCCAGGGCACAGTGAGTGGGCTAAGAGAAACAGAAGCTGGAGGCAGAGAGGCAACTTGGGCTCCAGCATGGGGCCTCGCTGAGTCATGGTGAGGACTTGGGCATATGCTTATCCTGAAGGATATGGTGACGCTCTGGAAGGTTTGAGGAGTAACCAGACTGGAGCAGACTCACTCTGGCTGCTCTGTTGAGACTGTGCTGCAGAGGGATAGAGCAGCAGCAGACAAGTTAGGAGGCTCTTGCAGTGGGCCAGGCGAGAGGCCTGGGAGTCTGGGTCAGGGTCGGGAGAGGAGGCTGAATTTTGGTGTATTGAAGGTGGAGATGATAGGGCTGTGTACAGATGGGCAGTGGTGAGGGGTGGCGATGGAGAGGAAGGAGTTAAGATGGTGACGCAGTGTATGTATGGCCTGAGCTCAGAAACTAGATGGGGAACACGGGGATATCCTGCCTGGTGGGGAACTCTTGGGAGTCAGTTTTGTACATGTTGACATGTACACGGGGTACCATCAGACATTTATATTGTGATGTCTGGGGAACATTGGATCCATGGGCCTGGAGCTGAGGGAGTAGACCTGGTCTAGAGGGACACATGTGTGGAAGGCCACTTTGAGTGAGGTCCCTGAGGGTTTGAGTGTGGGAGAAAAGAGGAGGAGCCAGGGAGGGGATGGCCCAGGGCTGCAGGTGCTTAGAGGTCCAGAAGGTACCAGGCTGGCTGTCTTCTTCACTGAGCCTCCAGCACTGTCCATCAAAACGCATTCCTGGTTCAGGGAACGCCAGGCCCAGCATTTAAATGGCCACACTGGCCTGACTGGTGTGGCTCAGTAGTTGAGTGTCAACCCATGAGCTAGGAGGTCACAGTTCGATCCTGGTCAGGGCACATGCCAGGGTTGCGGGCTCCATCCCCAATAGGGGGCGTGCAGGAGGAAGCTGATCATTGATTCTTATCATTGATGTTTCCGTCTCTGTCTCTCCCTCTCTCCCTTCCTCTCTCTGAGATCAATTTAAAAAAACAAAAACATAAATGGCTGCACTGTCCGTTCTATGAAGACAGAGCAGTGTCTTATACTTGCATCTCCAGGGCTTTATTTTGTGTCTGGCATGTACATGACTGGTAATTGAAGAAGAACTTGAATTAATAACTTGCACATTCCTGTGCTTTAAGAATTTCAGTTGTAGAGCTTGTGTATAGTACAGATCCAGTCTGTTGGTGTAAGGTGTCTGTGAGTGAGAAGGGCTGCTCACGGCAGAGCAGTGAGGTTAATGTGGACATTCTGTCCCCTGTGTTCACTGAGGCAGTGCTTTCCAGTTTCCTGGTGGGGCTAAAGTTCCCGGTTCTGTTCCATCCCTTCCCTTCCATTTCTTCTGTTCCCTCCTTCCCTTCCTCCCTCTCTCCCTCCCTCCCTGCCTCCCTCCCTCCCTCATTTCATTCAGAACTGAACCACCAGCATCTTCATATAAAGTATTTGAGATTTTAAAAAAAACAACTTGCAAACATATTTTCTTAATTTTTTTCTAAAGGAAGGGGAGACCCCTTCACTTGATTTTATTTATAATGGAGAGTATTTCAGAATACAGCAGTATTTTGGGGAAATATGGAAACATGATAAGCTCTCAAAGAAATCTAATGGTGAAATGTTTTGTGGTTTTCCCTGATTGAATCTGAATGACAATATGATTGGTTTAAGTGCAGAGAAGTTAGTTATATTCCTTGAGCACAATTCCCTATTTTTCTATCATATTAATCATATTAAATTGAAACTTTTTTCTAATGGAGCTACCATGCTGTTAAAGGGCTTTCTGCATCCTGTTCCAGGTGTGCTCAGGGATATCCCAGGAAAGATGTGGAAAATCAGGCGTCTGGGACCCAGGTGACGACATGGGGAAAGTACTTCTCAAAGGGCCTCTTTCATAAGATGGACGATGCTTCTCCATCTGGCTTCTGCGTGCCATCTTATTTCAAATTAAAGTCAAAACGGGGAAGTCTAGAGACTGGCTTTTCTTTTCAAGGTTAGAGTCCTTTACACTTGGGAGGTATGGGACTGCTTCATAAATAATATGACATTGTGTAGAAAGACAGGTGACACTATAATGCCGCTGAGAACTGAGATGAGGGGTCATCTCGGGGAGGCAGGTGGCTGCTGGCCTGAGAGCAGAGTCATCATGAGTCCTGAAATAATACAATAGAAATGGAGGTGCTCAAAACCACTGCTAGGTGCTGTGCACCCGTCTGTGTTGTCCCCACTGAGTTGACGGCTTTGCCCCATTTCATGGCCAAGGAGACTGAGGCTTAGAGAAGTTAAGTCATGTGTCCCATAGCTAGCAAGTGGTCTCTCTTAAAAAACAAATTTTTAGCCCTAATGGGTTTGACTCAGTGGATAGAGCGTCGGCCTGTGGACTGAAGAGTCCCGGGTTCGATTCCGGTCAAGGGCACATGCCTGGGTTGCAGGCTCAAACCCCCCAGTAGGGGGCGTGCAGGAGGCAGCCAATCAATGATTCTCTTTCATCATTGATGTTTCTATCTCTCTCTCCCTCTTCCTTCCTCTCTGAAATCAATACAAATGTATTAAAAAACAAAACAAATGTCCATATAAATTAGGAAGTTGAGCATTAGGAATAAATGTTACTTGGAAAATTTCTCCTTTCTCCATTAGAAAGTCTGATTCAGAAGGTCCAGGAGCTTGGGGGTCTAGGTGCCTCTGTTGTGCTCTAGAGTGCCTGACCTGTGGCATTTCAGGCGTCAGGCAGGACAGGCTGGTCCTGTCCTCTAGTGCAAGTGAGAGAGGCAGAGCCACCATCAATGCCAGTGAAGACTTTCTGGTGGCTGCTCAAGGATGAGAAGTGCTTCACTTGCTTTTCTGGGTGAAATCGCTGCAGGTCCTGGGGCTCTTCACACTCATTTTCCAGGGTGAAAGCTTGCAGATAGTGGAACGAGCTTGTGCAGTGGCTTCTGCTCCTGTCTTCTGCTCCTGTCCTGTCTGTGAGGATAGTGTATTATCTGGATTCAGTGGTAATGAAGTAATTCACATGTTTGGTGGGTTTCCTGTTTACAATGTATGAGGTGTTGCAGCTCAGTTTGGCCACAGGCTGTTATCTTTGTCTCATCCATTTCTGGGAGTCCCAGAGGGCCCACGTGGAGACGTGCTTACTGTTGCCCAGCACAGGTCATAGCTTTTCACTCTTATTACTTGTTTTTTCTCACACGAGCCTTGAGGAAAACTCAGCTGTTCCATTTTACCAGGGAGAAAAGCAATCGAGGCACAGGAAGGTCACTGACTTGTGGGGGTGACGAGACTGGTTAAGGTGTCCATGCTTCTGTCTGCACTGGGGGACCATGTTCAGCAGGTTTTGTCCTCCAGGGCACAGAGCCCTGATGGTCCCCGTCGTGAGGAAGGTACATGCAGTGAGACACGTGAACGTCTAACTCTAGAGGCAGACGTGACACACATGTTCAACTGGGGGAGGGTCAGAGGCCTGGGTGTTTGCATAGACAGGAAGAGCAGTGAAGTGCAAGGGGACGGGGATGGGACCCTCTTTAGGGACCCCACAGATATGGGTGCTGTTGCTGAGTGGCTCCTGCTTAGCTGGCGGGAGCTGGGGTTGCCTCCTGGTAGTTTATTTCCTGCAAGGGTCTTGTCTCCTCACTGGCATTTGGCAGTAAAGAATGTGAGGCTACACAACCCATAATTTTCTTAGTTATGGTAGGAAACTCGATGATGTGTTTTAATAAAACACCTCTCACTACCCTCCCTCTGAAGTTGGCTTCGTTGCCTATAAAGTTGCTCATAAACCTAAGAAATGTGCCTGCTTTGCATTTTGCTCCTACAGTGATGAAACCCCTCAACTTTAGAGCTGCCCCAGGCCTTGTCAACCCCCTTTCAGAAGGAGCCTTTTCCTTCCTTATCATCACTTTCTTCATATGGGAAGCTAGGTATCTGAGGAGTGTCTCTGTCTAGAGCAGTGATGGCGAACCTATGATACGCGTGTCAGAGGTGACACGCAAACTCATTTTTTTGGTTGATCTTTCTTTGTTAAATGGCATTTAAATATATAAAATAAATATCAAAAATATAAGTCTTTGCTTTACTGTGGTTGCAAATATCAAAAAATTTCTATATGTGACACGGCACCAGAGTTAAGTTAGGGTTTTCCAAAATGCTGGCACGCCGAGCTCAAAAGGTTCGCCATCACTGGTCTAGAGTGATACTACAGACTCAGCGATAGTATCATGGTCCTTGCACATGTGCCACCATCCACAGTGGAGCTACTTGCCCAAAGTTTAGGAGATGAAAGCATCTTTAGTTCACAGCTGCTGCCCTGGGAGGCCTCAAACATCAGTAGAATGTTCCAGCTCCAACAGGATGAGAATTACAGTCTGTGGAAATCAGACAGGTGTCATTGGCATCCTTTTTCCTTGAGAGTAAACTGTGGCTTTGAGTGTACATATCAGTAAAGGCCTGGAGGACACAGAAGACAGTGATTGCTAAAGATACAAAGGTGGGTTAGAGAGCAGAGACATGATGTGTTCAGCTCCTTGAGAAGATACACTTTTCATTTATCCCAACTCAGTTTTTATAATTACATACAGATACAAGTAATCTTATGCAAAAAAAAAAAAAGGAGAAATAACATTACATTATGCATTCCCATTACTAAGCAGCCTGGTTGACATTGACTGGATGCATGGACACAGGAGATATGTGAGAGCAGAGGAATGAGGCCCCAGCACCTACCTTCGCACTGTGGCCCTCTGGGCAGCAGGGTTGGCTCTGAAAGCACAGGATTCCTGGGACTCTGAAAAGACAGAACTTGGTCTGGGTTTGTGACAGTCTGGGAACTCTTTTTTTTTTTTTTAATCCTCACCCACAGATATTTTTCCATTGATTTTTGGAGAGAGGGAAAGACAGAGAAATATCAATGTGAGAGAAACACATCAATTGGTTGCCTCCTGTACGAGCTCCGGCCAGGGCTAGGGCGGAGCCTGCAACCTAAGTACCTGCCCTTGACTGGAATCGAACCCAGGACCCTTCAGTCTGCAGACCGACACTCTATCCACTGAGCCACACGAGCTAGGGCCTGAGAACTCTTTATGTCACGCACATTGGCCTTCTGTGGCTATGGATCTGATGGCTCATTGTGCTGCTTTCCTGGCCCTGTGATGGGGACTTAGCTGCTCATCGGTTTAGGTTCTGGTGTAGCAAAGTGCTTGCCTTTGAGCCTGCAGTTCTTTTTTTAAAAATTGATTTTAGAGAGAGGAAGGGAGAGAAACATCAATGATGGGAGAGAATCATCCCGCATGCCCCCTACTGGGGATTGACCCTGTAACCCAGGCATGTGCCCTGACTGGGAATCGAACCGTGACCTCCTGGTTCATAGGTCAATGCTCAACCACTGAGCCACACCGCCTGGGCAAGCTTGCAGTTCTTGTTCTTGTTGACACTGCCGACCTTGGAGCCCTTCTGTCTGCACCCTCCTGAGCACCTCCTGGGAAGGGTCCCTTCCTCATTTTATGGTGAGGAAGTTTCCACCCTGAGAGGTCACATAAGTGCCCCAGGAACCTGCAGCCTGTGATTGTCTGGCCACTAGACACCAGAGCCAGCACTCTGGGGGTGGTGTGCAATAGAGAAAGATGGCCGGGGTGCTGGTGTGAAAAGGCGTACTCAATAGGGCTGTGAGTACATTATGGCATGCCTCGGAACAGTGAGACACAAGACACTGGTGGAGTTGTGACTTAGGGGACTGACCATCTTGTTGAGAAGAATAAGATGAGGAAGCCACAGGTGTGCTGTGGCCTCATTCAAGGGTCTGTGCAGAAAGACTTCTGGAAGGACAGTCATTTCTGGGTGTGAGGCTGCAGATGATTTTTTTTAACATTTAAAAAATTGATTTTATAGAGAGGAAAGGAGGGGGTAAGGGAAACATTGGTGTGAGAGAAAAACATCGATCTGTTGCCTCCCACACACATCCAACCTGGTATCGAACCTGCAACCTAGGCATGTGCCCTGGGAATTGAGCCTGTCACCTTCTGTGTATGGAATGACCCTCCAACCAACTGAGTCACACTGGCTACGGCTGCAGATGATTTCTTATAACATTTTTGTAGTCTTTTTTTTTTTTAATAGCATATGTTATTTTTACCAAAAAGTGGAGCTATTGTCAAAAAATAAAGATATAGGAAAAACTCACATAATATCATTGATTTCCCAAAGACTTCTGTGAAGTTGCAGGTGAAGGATGTGATGACTGGGCCCTGTGAGAGCCTGAGAGGCAGCAGGTGAGAGTTGTGTGTTCAGGGTTCTCTGAAAAGCAGCTGCAAAGATGGGACACCCGGAGCACACTGCACACACCTGGCATTGCAGGTATGGGGACCTGTGCGGAAGCAGAGTTTCCTCAGCCATGGTTCTGTGGACAGGAGTGACCCTGGGCCTGTCTTGTTTCTTATGAAAGCAATACAGAATAAGAAGGGGTTCAGGTCTTGTTAGCTCAGTAGGTAGAACCATGCTCTGCACACAGTGATCTCCTTAGGAAGTGGGGCATTGCCAGTGGAAGTTGGTGGTTGTGCCCATCTGGTATCATCATCAAAGTGAAAGCAGGCTCCAGGCCTTGATCTCCAGGCCTCTTGGCACCTGGGCCTTTAGGGGACTTCTCTCCACTTCTCTGGAGCCTAGTGTCCCACCCAGGAGTTTGCAGCCTGCTCCTCTACAGCTAACTGCTCCTCACCAAGAAATCTGTGGTGGACTGGAAGTTCCAGTCGTCTGGGACATCTGGCTCTGGTTTCTTGCCCCTGACGCATCTGCCTTCAGCATGGCTCCTCGGCACGTGCTCCCAGGTGACGTCTGCTGAGCCTGGGACGGCTATGAAAGCTTACTCTACCTCTGGCCTCCCTTGCACACAAAGATAAATGTGTGGTTTCATTTTACTTTTGTCCTTTAGGTTTTAAACATTTTAAGTCTAAAACAAGTGTTTAAATCAGGAGGCTTTGTTTTGTTTTGTTTTTAACTTTCTCTCCCCTGGATCTGGCCCCAGTTGATCTCTCACCCTCGTTTCTGCAGGCACTGACTCTGGCTTTGAATCTGAAAGGCTCAGGAAGTGGGGTGGCAGGTCCCACTGCCTCATCCCTACATGTCCCTGCACATCTGATCATTGTGTATCTTTGGTTTCAATAGCTACTCTGACCTATGACACTCTCCGATTTGCTGAGTTTGAAGATTTCCCGGAGACCTCGGAGCCTGTTTGGATATTGGGTAGAAAATACAGCGTCTTCACAGGTATGTGCTGTGTTGGAGCCCACTGTGCTTTTAATGCTCAGTCTCCAAATCCTTTTTGTGATAATAATAGTTACCTGCTAACTCTCTAACCTGTCTTAGTACTTACACCTCTGTGTGTGCGTGTGTTTTCTTCTTTTAAACATTCTTTAGAAAAGGACGAGATCTTATCTGATGTGGCGTCCAGACTCTGGTTTACATACAGGAAGAACTTCCCAGCCATTGGTAAGTACTGCCTGTCACAATGTGTGGTGATGCAATGTGCATGTTTTAGAAGGAGGAAAACAGATTGATAAGTAGGTTGACTTGGATATGCCTAGTACTTGTCACTTTGTGTTAATCCGTATGGCAACCCCAGGTTAGTGAGCTGGTGAGTCTTGCCCCAAGTTGTGGCAGAGCTAGAGTCCAAACCTAGGGCTTCTGACAGTGGTTTCCAAACGGAAGTCACCATTTGTTACTGAGGCTTAAAGTCAGGATAAGGAGTCCCAGTCAGCAATGAAAACGGAGAAGACAGTGCACTGTGAAGGAGTGAATTCTGCAGAGGCTGTGGTTAGATTATATATTTGAGTCTTGTCCTGGGTCAGGGCTGTAGGTCCAGGGTGGCTGGAGGCCGTTGTTCTATACCCATCATCTTCTCTAGTACGTTCCACACGTAGTTGTGGGAGAGCTGAAGGGCAGGGTGGATGGGACATGTTTTCCCATGATGCTAAAGTATGTTTCATTAAAAATGATTCTTCATCATTGTGCCCTGGAGGCGGACAAAAGTTGGGGACTGGCTTTTGCCAGTCAGACGACCTGAGACCAGAGGTTCGGGGCCAGGAGGCTACACCTCCTCAATGCCTAGTCTTGATTCGGTTCCTCTCCAAGATGTGGTTTCTTCTGTTCTTCAGAAGTGAGGTGGGCATAAAATAGCCACAATGCTTGACATTGGGACACTGAAATGTGGGGAAATGAGACCATTGTCCCCATAGGTTAATACTTAATGATGTGATTTGTCAGGTGCACTCTCTTCTGGTTGCACACCTGCTCTGAGGCTGTTTTGCTCAGCCCTGATTGCAGGAGGCGCAGTTGCCCACTTGCCAATTGAGGCATGCTGTGTGGACAGTGATGTTCTGCAGATCAGATGTCTGAACACAGGGAAAGAGGACAGGCTAGAGAGGAGCCTTGTGCTGTTTGACACAGTCGTTGAGGAGGAAGTGGGCTGTCCAGGTCCTAAAGGCCAGTGTGGTGTTTCCTCCCTTTGCCCCTTGGACATAGCTTGTTGGTATGGGAGGTGGTGTGGGGAGTGACAGGTACCATGCTGAGTGCCTTCTCTGATCTCACCAAGAGGTGGGCTTTGTCCCTGAGTGCCTGGGCAGGGTTCATGAGGCTCAGAGGTGAGACTGCAGCCCACATGGTCTGGCTCCAGAGTCTGATTGTTTAGTGCCAGCCATCCCAGGCCTTGCTGATGGTTAGGACATCAGGGCATTTCCTGTATGTCCAGGTCTGTCTCACTGTACGTGATACCACATGCCCAATGTCAGAATCTGCGCAGACGGGACGTGGATGGGCCCAAAGCACATGCATCTTCAGGGCTGACTCTGAAACCTGTCCTCTCCCAGCACCGACCACCTTCCTATTCCGCTGTCTACTGTCTGGGTACTGATGACTCATGGGCACAGTGTCTCCATGTTTTCCAGACATTTGTCCTCTGTGACTTTTCACATATTTTGCCCCTTTGAGAGGGTTGTTAGGACATTTCACTCCTCAGCAGTGGGTCCTCAGCATGACCACCTTCTAGGTTGTGTGTTGCCAAGATGGTGCTGACACCTGCAGTGTAGAGTGACCTGACTGGAGTCTGCTCTCTCTGCGCCACCACAGGGGGGACCGGCCCCACCTCGGACACAGGCTGGGGCTGCATGCTCCGCTGTGGACAGATGATCTTCGCCCAGGCCCTGCTGTGCCGGCACTTAGGCCGAGGTGAGTCACGCTGGGGACAGTGATGTTCTCAGGAAGCAAGGACTATGGGTGCAGTTGTGTAAACACAGATGAGGATTCAGGGGCTTCTTCAGTAATGATCCACTGGCTTTCATTGATTTTTTAAAAGTGACTTTAAAGAATGCTGATAAATGTTTGTCTTCAGAAATTCTCTTTAAACCCCTGAAACCATTGTTTTCTGTATGGATTTGTGTTGATGGGTTGGCATTTTTGGAATCTTGGAAAGGGCTTTTAACTTGATCACAGTTCAAAGCAGTTTGGATACCATCTGTGTCTTCAGTGTTGCATAACGTAAAGGCTTCTTTCTCACATTTGGTAAAACTGCACTTCTGCACCTGTCTCCACTAGATTGGAGGTGGACACAGCGGAAGAGGCAGCCGGACAGCTACTTCCACGTCCTCAACGCATTCATCGACAGGAAAGACAGTTACTACTCTATCCACCAGATAGGTGGGTGGGAGCAGCGTGCCCATGTCTTGGCTGTTTAGCTAAGCATTGAGTCTTGGGGTTCTCAAGAGCTTTGTTGTATTGTGGTGTGTATGGTGTGAAGCTTGTCACCACCGTGGGCTCCTGGGCTAGGCTGCTCGTCACAGCATCTGTGAAAATTAGATTCAGTGAGGGAGTCTGAATGCTCCTGTGTTTTAAGCAAGTCCAACTTCTGAGCATCATGTTCTCAGTGTAGAAGGAAGTAAAAATACAGCTTTGAATTGAGTGGGTCATTTTACTTCTTAATCCTGCTCCTCATCGAAGGACTGGAATCCTGGCTCATAGTGAAGGACAAACCTTGAGACAGCGTTTATCCATTTTGGATGAAGTGCCCTGGTGTCCGTCAGCTCATGCTGGAGGCAGGTTTGGGCGTGCCTGTCCAGGCTTCCTGTAAAGTGTTCCTCAGCCACATGCCTCCAGGACCAGCCTCTTCTAAGAGGTGGGGGGAGGGATGTTGATGGTTGATACGTGTGTGTCACTAATCAGATCTGTTTCCTGCAGCGCAAATGGGAGTTGGCGAGGGCAAGTCTATTGGCCAGTGGTACGGGCCCAACACAGTCGCCCAGGTTCTCAAGTATGTACCAAGCTCCATCCCTCCCATATCTTTGGGGAACATGGCATGCATAGATGTACCTGGGGTGTTCAGACTCTCCTGAGTCCTGTTGCTAAAGGACATAAGGGGTCTCTTACTCTTCAAAGCCTTGAGAAGGGTCCTCAGAGGTGACCATCCACGTGGTCTTGAATCGGAATTTTGTTTTCTAATGGAATGAATACCTTCATCCAGGTTGCACCCATTAGTGTGGGCCTTTTTTTGTCTAGTGGTGGATCCATCCATCACAGTGGTCTGATGGTCAGGGAAGTTGGAACTGATCGGGAATGACAACACTGGTGAGACGGCGGCCCTCCATACAGGCTCTGTGGGGCTCTGCCTCTGTTCTGACTGTCTCCCCCCTTCTCTGAAACCTGTTTCCATCCTTGACCTTCCCTCTACCCCCTGCCTCGCTGTCTGCCCCTCTGCTCCCTACCCCCATGGGAGGCTCCCACAGGCGCCCCCATGTGACTTCCTGGAATTGCCCTTCTCTTCCCTCCACGTGGTGGATGACTGCCATCTCAACCCAACTGTCCTCGGCAGGTTTCTTGGGATCCTCCAGGACACTTTCTTCTCTTACGTTTCCAACTTCCAGCTGGTCCCCAAGCCTGACACTGTCTCTCCATCTCCTTATCCAGGCCCCTGGATTACTTAGCCCTCCCACATGTCCTTTAAAGTCCCAGGCCCAGTGTTGCATGCCTTGAAAGTGTAGTTTGTTTGCATGATTGGCCTGCATGGTCTGTGTGAGCTCTTCCTGTCTTGTACTACTCACGGACACTTTTCTCCCCACTGCTGCCTTGAAACACCCAATCGAGCTCACCATCAACCTGTCATGTCTGAAGGCCGAGTTTCTGCTCCTACTCAGCCATCAGCAAGCAACCCTTGGCTTAGGCACTTGCTGTCTTTGGAAATCCAGGCCACAGAGCCATTCTCTCTGGTCCTTCTGTTCCTCTGCCGCCTCGGAATCTGTTGCTGGCCCTCCCCACCTGTAAGCCCTGCGGGCCTTGTCTCAGGACTGTGGCTGCTTCTCTGCACTGTCCATGCCCAGCTTTAGCTGTTGTCTGCTCATACTCAACTCCCAGAGTCACATCCCCCAGTGCTAATCTGTCCTATCAGGATGTTCACTCAGCATCTTAGATGTCCAAGTGGCATGTTGAACCCTAAGCTGAGCCTTCCCCTACCCTGTCGGCTTCTCCTTCACTGAGGGCAGCCCCTCCTTCCTGGCACTCAGGCCAGACACTGGGATTATACTTGGCTCTTCTTTCTCAAGACACCCATCCAGTGTGTCCTAACTGACCAGTGTGTCTCGCTTCACTGTCCTCACTCTGGTCCAAGCCCCGGCTCTTGCCTCCTTGTTAGTCTGTCTTCTCTTTGCCATTCTGGAGTCTCTTTTCAAATAACAGCAGAAGTCATCTTCACATTTATAAGTCAGCCACCCATCCCTCTTCTGCTCAGCACACCCCGGGCTTCCCAGTGAATGCAGGAAGGCTGCAGGTGCAGGCCTGGCTGCCCTGTGCTGCTCCCTGGCACATGGCACCTTTTGCTTCTCAGAGGGACACACCACCTCAGGCTCTTTGCACGTGCTGTGCCCTTTGCATCAGGGCCTTCCTGCACTACACTGGTCGTGCCCCTCCTGCCCCTGCTTTGTTCTTTAGGGCACTTACTACCTCATAGGATTATGTATTTCTTGCTGCCCCCTCCCCCCGTGTCAACCTCTCTAGGGGCTTTGTCTGTCACATGTCATTGCATCCTCAGCACAGCTCCTGGCCCTCAGCACAGGAGCGAGGTGGCTGGTGCAGCACTGCAGGTGCTCTGTTGGAATCCTTTCTGGCCTTTCCCCCAAGAGGGGCTCTGTGTGGACAGCCCAGTGCCCCAACCCTCCACCCATGTCCCCAGACCCATTAGGTCCTCTCACATGGGAGCCCACCTCCACTGCACTTGAGAGTAAGTCAGATGCCTCCACACCCCCATTATACTTCTGGTGGCAGTGTGCCTTTCTTCCAGAGCCAGAATCCTGTGGCCACAACTCCTCAGTCATTTACAACCGGGAACCTCAGCTCAGCACATCTGGGGTGGAATTGAAGGGAGCAGAGTGAAGTGGGGCTGGCAAAGCCTGCGGTATCTGACTCCTGGCTCATGATCTGGTTCCCACCTCCACATGCCAACTAGGCCAGGACATGACATCACCAAGAGGCTCCTGTGCAGGAACTTCCTCTCTGCAAAGGGCAGCTGGGGGTCATGGAGGGAGCACTGGACCCTGGGAGGAAGAAACAGGTTCCAGCTTCAGCTTTATTCCCACCTGTGGCACTGACATCTCTGAGCCTTGGTTTTTTTCCTGTGAGAAAGGCTGTTCCCTTGGTATCCTGCAGAGCTGAACCATCTTTGAATTGTGAAAGCTTATTGGCGTGTCCTCCCCCTTTCTGATAGGAAACTTGCTATCTTCGACACATGGAGCGCCCTGGCTGTCCACATAGCAATGGACAACACGGTGGTGATGGAGGACATCAGTAAGTGACAACAAAGCAGGGTTGGGACTGACGGAACTCGGGGAGCAGCAGCTGAGCACTTACTCCTCCCGGGCTCACAGGGGCCTCACCTGAGGGCGGTGACTATGAGTCCTGCACAGCAGCTGGACACCCTAAACAGAGGCCAGGGGACCCCAGGTTTCCTTACAGAGAAGACCAGGCTAAGGGGTAGGGTCTGGATTCTCTCCAGAGCTGGGTTACTTAGGACCCCCATGGTTTTTGTGCCATTGAGGCGTGCTGGGTTGACTATGTGCAGGACTCATAGTCACCGTCAACATAGGATTGGGAAGCCGGGGATGTGACTTATTAATAAAAAGCAACACTGGGCCCTAGCTGGTTTGGCTCAACGGATAGAGCGTCGGCCTGGGGACTGAAGGGTCCCAGGTTCGATTCCAGCCAAGGGCACGTGCCTGGGTTGTGGGCTTGATTCCCAGTGGGGAACGTGCAGGAGGCAGCCAATCAATGATTCTTTCTCATCATTGATGTTTCTCTCTCTCTCCTTCCCTCTCCCTTCCTCTCTAAAATCAATAAAATATATTTTAAAAAAAGAAGCAACACTGGTTTCTACAGCTCTGAACCCTCTGGTAGATACCTCATCCCTTAACAGTTCTGTTCCTCTGAGAGGTGATTAACTTGGAACCACAGCAGAAGGGTGTATAGTTCTTCCTCTTGCCTTTTCTCCATATTCCATTTCCTGAAATTTTTATGGTACATAGAAAACTTAGGAAATGTGCAAAGAAGGGGGAAAATCACTTGATTTTACCTTTCAGAAATAGCTCATGTTGACATGTAAACATAGTTGGTTCCAGTGTGTGTTTTTTTGTTTTTCCAAAAGAAAATACATAGGATCTTAAGCATTTTCTCAGCAAAGCAGAAAGTGGAGAAACAGTGCTCAGTTATAATTCTTACTGTCTGGCTGCTCAATTCTCCATTACACCTTAATTTCTTTTTGGGGGGATTGTTCTTTACCCTCCTCGGGGTCTAGCTCAGTCACTGTTCCAACCCCTGGCTTCAGACTACAGACTAGCAGTGGCCAGGAAGAGATAGGGGGCAAGTGGCTTTCCAGAACCCATCTATCTTGGGGAGTGGGGGTGATGCTGGTGAGGGCCCTCTCCAGTCTCTTCTGGGAGTCTTGGTCATTCAGACCAGCCAAGCTGGAACTGAGATGAGACGTGAACCCGGGCTTATCCCAGGAGCTTGTGGATCTGGTTCTGGGGAGGGTCTGACCTGCATTGTTAACAGGCTCTCAAGTGGGATGTGTGTGGCCACCTGGCCAAGATCAGGGCCTAGTCTCACTGCATCATCCTTCCCTTCCCCAGATCAGGAGTTATGGGTGCACATCACAGGAACAAGTGGAGGATGTGTGCCCATATTTAGGAAGAAGAGCACCAGAACACAACCAACAACAACACTGGGACTGAACACAGCGTAGTGAGGTGTGGGGTGAGGGATGAGGGGAGGTGATGTGATTCTAAATGGCTCATCCTGATTCCTTTGAGCTTTGAGAGCCTAGGCTTCATGGAGACAGGTCAGCTGCTTTCCTGGTGCGCTGCTGAGTTACCTAGGGCAGCAGGCTGGGGAGGGAGGCTTGGGTTCAGCAAAGCAGAATGTGGAGAAACAGTGCACAGTTACTAAGAAAAGCCTGTTGATGTCAGAAATCACATAAGTCCCTCTCCAGTGATAGAGGTTGCTTACAACGTTCCTGCTCAGATTTTATGGGAAACGTGCCAGGTTAGGGGACACTTCATTCCTTAGATTTCCCTGCTCACCCACCCACTCACCCCCTAAGGGCCCGCTAGGACATCCAGAACAGGCCCTGACCGTGTTTAATGTTGATAAGAGTCACACCTTTGTAAGCACAGTGGACTGTGGGAAGTCATGGAACCGAGGGAGAAATAGATTGGAAAAGATAATCTGGCAGTGAGTACAGGTGACATGGATGAAAACCGATTAATACAAGAATAATCAGAAAAGCTGTGGGGCAAATAATTTGATGGCAGAAGTAGAAATAGAGCAAAATAGAAATAATCGTGTGGGTTGGAAGGGCAGGGTGAGAGTAAAGGAATTGGAGCTGGAAGAAGAGTTGAGCCTTTAGCCTGGCTGGTGTGGCTCAGCAGTTGAGTGTTGACCCAGGAATCAAGAAGTTGCTGGTTCGATTCCCTGTCATGGCATATGCCCGAGTTGCAGGCTTGATCCCTTGTAAGGGGTGTGCAGGAGGCAGCCAGTCGATGATATTCCTCTCTCATCGATGTTTCTATTTCTCTATCCCTCTCCCTTCTTCTCTCTAAAAATCAATACATATTTTTAAAGAAAGAGTTGAGCCTTTAGAATTAACCTCAAATTTTTAAAATCAAGAATGTATAAAATATGCATGTGTCTGGTGACATTTCCAAATTGCAAAAATGAAGAGAAACTTTTATAAGCATCCAAAATAATAATAATAATAATAATAATAGTCCTGAGAAGAAAGGCTGTTCACTGGTACTACAGCCTTATCTTCCTGCCACCAAACACCAGAAAATGTTCAGAATTCTGAAAGACCTGGGTTCAGGAGGTCGGGAAGGCAAATATATTGTTTAGTTGTTGTCATTGATCAAAAGACAAAAAACAGGACATAAAAAGCTTAAAAAATGTTAGGAGAGCTCTAGAAAATTACAAATGGGTTGCTGGGACAAAGGAAAACCCATTTATTAACAGGATACTTGTGACGTAACAGGCCACAGGCAGGCTCTCGAGTCCCAGGGTGCAGCTGTGACAGGCCCTGCCCCATCCTGAGCCAATTCATGTGTCTGGTGTTCTGGTAATAGAAATCAAGTCAACAAGAGAATGTTCTCATCACAAAGTATAGTCTCGAACGCAGGGAAGCAAAACTTACATCAACAAAGAGACCATGACAGGTCAAATAAGTAAAAACTAAGTTACACAGAACCAGCATAACACAGTCAGAGTATAACAGATGTGTGTCAAAGACTAGGTTCTGGTAGCAGAGTGTACCTCTTTTAAACGTTTGTATAAACTAATGCAGAATAAATAGGAAAAAAGACAAAACTCTACTACCTCGAAGTTTAAACCTCTGTCTTAGCTTTTGGGTCAAAGGAAGTCAAGTTAACAGACTACATAGCAGAATTTGACTTTTACTGAATTCTGCACCTTCATACTGGTGATCAGAGAGTAAAAAGTGAAAATGAAGTTGGAAAAGAACAAAATTGTCAGAAGAAACCCCCAAAGAGTGGTATGATGACACCAAATACAGAGATTGACCATTTTAAGGGAGAAATGATAGAACTAATAACTTCCTGAACTGGCCCTTTCAAAAACATGCAGATCACCAGACAACTACTGCAAGGGGGAGGGGAAGAAATCAGGAGATCTCTGCTTAGAAATTAGAAGGTAAGATACACTGGTTCTGATGTGTGGGTTTTCACCTACCCACCAAGCAATTTGATACCAACTGGGTGTCCTACAATTCATCCCAGTTCTGATACCATCTACCTGGAGATGGTGTCAGACCCCATGAGTTAAGGCCTCAGTCCTACAAGATGGCACCCTGTCCACCCTCCTCCCCCACCTCAGATGCCAATATCAAGTCCAGGTGTCACCTGTGCTTCTGACCAGTGCTATAGATTGGAGGTTCCCACCACCCCCTCGGGTTGGATTATTTGTTGCAGCAGCTCACAAAACTCAAGATGTTACAGATCACGAGTTTATTCTAAAGGATATGAATCAAGAACAGCAAGATGGAGGAGCTTCCCTGCCCTCTCCAGGTGCCACTCCCAGCATCTCTACCGGTCCACCAACCCAGAACCTCTCTGAACCCCCTCCTGGGATTTATGGAGGCTGCATTACACAGATGAGATGGATGAAGTCTGCCCATTGCTGATGGAGCTCCCTTGGCTCCTCTGGAAAGTTCAGCCTTTAATCTGGGTTGGTTCCTGTGGCAGCCCCCACCCTTGGAACTTCACAAGTCTTGTTAACATAACAAAACACCTGTTCACTCTCGTCATTTAGGAAATTTCTAAGGTCAGAGCTCTTTTCCTGCAGTAAGATGCAGACCTAGTATATATTTCTTATAAATCACAGTATCACAGAAAGATTAGCCAGAGATAAAGTAGAAAGATAAAATCGCACTCCCAGTCTTTTCTTTTTCCAACCATTCACTTTGAGATTCCAGTCCTCTGCTAGTAGGTACTTCACAGATGAGCTGCCGCTTCCCAACTGCTGGCCTCACTGTCACCCTCTGGAACCTCCTGTGATCCAGGAGCCAGGCCGTTTCATTCTCCTTTAATCCAGAAAGTCCTCTTTTTTGGTTTTTCCTGGTTCTTCACAGCATTGATGCTTTTGAAGAACCCAGGTCAGCTCAGTAGAATGTCCCTCACTCCATCTATTGTTTTCTCACTGTTACATTTGGACTAAACATCTACCAGGGGTGGGCAACCTTTTTGTGAGTGCGTGCCAAAACCAGCAAAATCTCTGACTCAAAATTCTTCTGCGTGCTAACCCTAATTTTTTGAGAACATGTTATGCCTACTTGATATCTCTTAAGGTGTACATATGTGAAGAACCTTGAAGAAATAATAAATTTCATTCAAGCGACAAAAACACAGTATATGATGATGAAAAATACATTTATTTTTTAATGTATACATGTACACTGATAGTCTGACAGAAAACTTTATGACTCTGTTTGATATCATCAGTGGGACTTTTGCTGCTGCATCACTGATGACAGAGATTTTACATCAGGTTTATATTTTGTGACCTTCAGAGATATGCACGAGCTACCACTTTCATCCGTCAGGCTACTCCTATTACGAGACATAACAAAATTCATCACTGAGAACAAAGATTCACAAGCGTATGTGGATGAAAACATGGAGAGTAACGCTGTTGCAAAGTTTTTTAAACAGAAAAAATTTTCTGGAATGGCATTCCAAGTCCTCAATAGTTCGTTTTCGACACTATTGAAATTGCTCTTCTCTCTCGTCAATCCATGTCTATGGTCTTTAAGATAACTTGTTATGTAAAATTATCTATAAGATGCACCTACACTGAAATTATCTGAAAAATAAAAAAGTCGATATTAAGAAAAAATTGTAAATGGAAGATTATAAGAGAGGGTTTTGCGTGCCAGCAAAAGTTACTGGCGTGCCATGTTTGGCACGTGTGCCAGGGGTTGCCCACCATTGATCTAGACCAAGAGCACTACCTGATGGCTGTGTCCCAGCATCACAGCTGGAGGTTGCTCCTGGTCAGTGATGCTTCCTGGGTCACCTGGTGAGGGCAATCTCTTTCCCTGTGACTAATGGGTGGTCTGAGGAATAATACATGGTGTCTGCATGGGGATCTCTCTAAGGCAGCCCTTCCTCCCAAGTTGGTTGGCATTCTTGTGAAGAGCCCTCTTTTCTTTCCTCCACCATCTCCTTATTTACATTTGAAAAACTTTTTTAGGGTCAGTACATTCATGGATTGTTTTTTAATTCAATGTGTTGTCCATTTTGGATATTAGTCATTGTCCCAGATTTGGCTGGTGGGCATCCCTGCAGGTGGTTCTGTCTTCTGTTGGTTCCTGTCATTTTCATTGTTCAGCATCCCCTTTCTGGCATTAACCAGATCCTGGTTCCTTTCAGCAGGAAAGATATTTAGAAACTAGACTGAGTGCTGGGTGTGCTCAAGGCACTGGAGAGTCTGTTTCTTTTTGTTGTTGTTAATACTCGATATATTTTCATTGACTTTTTAGAGAGTGGAAGGGAGCAGGAAAGACAGAAACATCAATGTTAGAGAGGCACGTCAATTGATTGCCTCTTGCAGGGTGACAAGGTGTTGGGGATTGAGCCTGCAACTGAGGTACATGTCTTTGACCAGGAATCGAAACCAGGACCCTTCAGTCTGTGGGCCAGTGCTCTATCTGCTGAGCCAGACTGGCTAGGAAATTCCAAAAATTGGAGCTCTGTGCCTGCAGGCTGGAGTTTCAGTCTCTTCTTGACACCAAACTCCCTAGTTCTGTTGGTCGGCAAACCGCGGCTTGTGAGCCACATGCGGCTCTTTGGCCCCTTGAGTGTGGCTCTTCCACAAAATACCACATGCGGGCGCGCACGTATAGTACAATTGAAACTTCGTGGCCCATGTGCAGAAATCAGTGTTTTGTGGAAGAGCCACACTCAAGGGGCCAAAGAGCCGCATGTGGCTTGCGAGCCGTGGTTTGCCAAGCCGCAGTTTGCCGACCACTGCCCTAGTTCATGTTGAAAATTGCCCAGTGCACTTAGAAGTTGCCTAAACATTTAAAAGGAGAGCAGTTCCTTGGTGTTCTTGCTGGGGGTGGGGTCACAGGTGTTTGGGGACTTGGTCAGTGCTCGATTGGCCAGGCTGGTGGCTTCATGGTGCCTGTTTAAGGGTGGCTCTCAAAGGTGCACACACGTGTTCCTGCACTATTTTCTGTGCGTGCTTTATTTCACAATAAAAATGTTTAATTGAACACATAGAAAATGTTTGGTTCTTTTTTCTCTGTGTGCAGCAGGGTTGGTCTTACGCTTTATTTCTCAAGTTTGAGTTGTGTTTCATATACCATTTATGTACCTGTTTCTTTTGGGTGAAGTTGTACCTACTTAGCCCATAAGAGCACGTCTCCATTTCTCAGGAAGGTTATGTAGGAGCAGCCTTCCATGTGCGGAGGCCACTGCGTTTCCTGCAGACTCTGAAGGGCACTGTAATGGACTCCCTGCGGGAGCCGAGGTCACCAACAGGCCATCCCTGTGGCGACCCCTGGTGCTGCTCATCCCCCTGCGCCTGGGGCTCACGGACATCAATGAGGCCTACGTGGAGACGCTGAAGGTGGGTCTGTGCTGGGTCTGTCCTCTCACTAGCCAGTGGGAGAATTGAAATACTGTTTTGCATTAAAACCCTTCTGTGTCACCCTCTGACCACCCTGTGGACTCCTGGCCTCTACCTGGGCAGTCCCGGCTGCCCTTCCCACTGGCCCCTGCGCTCTTCCCTAGCCTTGCTCCTCCTGCTGACTTGGTGGTTCCAGTGGCCTCCTGTCTCCACCCAGCCTTGGTATGCAGGCCTCCTCTACGTGCCTGTGTGCCCTTTTTGACACCCGCTGACTCTTGCCTACTCTCCTCCCACGGCCCGCACGTCCACCTTCCTCAGGCCCATCCCCTGCACAGAGCTCCTGAGCCCACACAGCACTTGTTTCTTCAACTGTTTCCTAAGCTCTTGGGGGTTCATTATCCTCCTTGGGCCTCTTGTTCAGGGGTGCAGGCCTCCTGCTTGCACCTGCTCAGCAGTCCACCTTTCCTCCTTCCTGCAGGGCTGTTTCATGATGCCTCAGTCCCTGGGAGTGATTGGAGGGAAGCCCAACAGTGCCCACTACTTCATCGGCTATGTGGGTGAGTGGGGAGTCCCGCGTGATGCCCCAGTTGGCCAGAAGATGAGGGGGAGTGATCTTCAGGGCAGCCCTGTGGAACAATGCTGGCCCCCCACACCTAGAGGTGGCTTGACCCAGGGCCACCAGTAGAAAAGCAGCATGTCCCCACCCCATCTACCTGCTGTCTTTCCCAACCTGGCTTGTCCAGGTGACGGTTGTGGTGTGGCAGGTCTGAAATAGGACCCCCGTTGACACCCCCTTTGCTGACTTTCATGTCGTCTTGCCCAGGTGAGGAGCTCATCTACTTGGACCCCCACACGACACAGCCAGCTGTGGAGTTAACTGACAGCTTCTTGATCCCAGATGAAAGTTTCCACTGCCAGCACCCCCCGAGCAGGATGAGCATTGGGGAGCTAGACCCGTCCATTGCTGTGGTACGTTCCCCACTCCATCCCATTGTCCCCTGTGAATGTGGGAGCTTATGGGCACTTGGGTCCTGCATGGCCTTTGCTGCTGAGCTACTTAGGAGATGCAGGTTGAGGCCAAGTCTCAAACCCACCAGCCTAGCCCCTGTTCAGGGGCACAGGGGAAGAGACCTGTGTGCTCTGCCATGTAATTATACCTGCTTCGTTCTAAGGCCTTAAAAATCATACACAACCTCCATGATCTGGGACAGTCAGGGCAGAGGGCAAAGGGTCGAGCCGAGGATGGAAACCATGGAGAGGGGCAGAGGCTGGAGAAGTGAGGGTGGTGGGAGGTGCCCCAAGGTCCCTGCAGTGGCACTGGGAATGGAAATCTGGCCTCTTAGGTCACTCTGTGGCCAAGTTCAACATGGTGCCCACTTATGCTGCTTTCTGCTTACCACTGTTTTTCCTTTCAGGGTTTTTTCTGTAAGACTGAGGATGACTTTAATGACTGGTGCCAGCAAGTAAAAAAGGTTCGTAGCGCATGGCGGGTGTGGCTCAGTGGTTAAGCGTCATCCTGTGAACTAGGAGGTCACAGTTTAATTCCTGGTCAGGATACATGCCTGGGTTTCGGACTCAGTCCCCAGTGGGGGCGTGCAGGAGGCAGCTGATCAATGATTTTCTCTCATCGATATTTCTCTCCCTCTCCCTTCCTCTCTGAAATAAATAAACGTGTGTGTGTGTGTGTGCGCGCACATTTTTAAAGGGGATTGGTAGCAACTCTGCTATCTGAGTGGATGGGTCTCTGGCTCAGCACCTGCTTCCCCACTCATTCCTCCACCAGCGCACCACTGTGAAACGTCCTGTGGCCCTTGTATGGTTGCTGCTTCTGGCATTGTCTCATTGTGATTAGAGGATGTGGGGACTTGACATTGTTCAGGAACTTTAGAATGGAGTGTCTAGTTCTCAGCCTCGTGCTGACAGGGTGGAGTGTCTAGTTCTCAGCCTCGTGCTGACAGGGTGGTGGGAGATACGGTTTTTGTCTCCAGGGCTGTTTCCATAGGATGGGTAGGCAGGCACCTTGTTGGATTCCCATCTCAACCCAGGGTTAAGGGCCTCAGTCTGCTCTTGTCAGTGTTTCCCTGATCACAGTAGTGATTGGGGAGCTGGGGGGAGATACTGTGCCCCTGTAGGCTGCCTCTAATGGCTGTGTCTTGCTAACAGCTGTCACTGCTTGGAGGTGCCCTGCCCATGTTTGAGCTGGTGGAGCAGCAGCCTTCCCACCTGGCCTGCCCTGATGTCCTGAACCTGTCCTTAGGTGAGTCCGAGACCCCAGGGCCACATCTCAGGTGGAAATGGGTGCTGCCTATTTTGTTGCTCAGATGTGTTCTGTGTGATGCTTCTGTCCTCCCCTCCTAGCTTTTCCCCAGATCGCATTACTTTTGACCTTCAAGATTTGTGTGGGCCCTGGCCAGGCAGTTCAGTTGGTTAGAGCATCGTTGTTCATGGTTGCGAGTTTGATCCTCCCCAGTCAGGGCACATATAAGAATCAACCAATGAATGCATAAATAAGTGGAACAACAAATCAATCAATCAATCTTTTTAAAAAATCAATAAAAAGATTTGTATGAACAGTAGGGGGGGTGGGTAAGGGCAGAGGGTGGGGTGGGAACCGGGTGGAGGGGAACTATGGGGGGGGGGGGGAAGAGGAACAACTGTAATAATCTGAACAATAAAGATTTAATTAAAAAAAAAGATTTGTATGAACCCCAGATGCAGTCACTTGGTGATTTATATGTGCAACAAGGGATCAGGGACACTGCTGAGTATCCCCCTCCTCTCGCCCTGAGTGTAGCAGCAACAGTCTGACCCTCATCTTTACCCCACGTACGGTCATCTGGCCCTGTGCACATGGATCTGGGAGTGTTCCTCACAGGTTCTGGGTTCTGTACGATCCAGAATATGCTGGGCTTTTTGTAATCTCATGAGCTCTCCATGCAATCCACTGTGTGAGTCAGTCCTGCTCTGGCAGGCTTTGCATCCCACTACTGCATGATTCTGTGCCCAGGGGCCTTCTCCCTCGGACAGACCCTCAACTCTCTCCAAGTGTACTGAGCATATGGCACACAGAAAACGGAGACTTGGCATTGAGGCTGTGAGCACATCCAGTTCACACCTCCATCTGTACCCGGGAAGACCAATGTGAGGACCATGATGAGCCTGTGGAACTGTGTATTGAAAGTCACTGAGGACAAAGATGATGGAGCCCACTGTCCCGTTTCTGTGGAGATCATTGAGGATGATGACGGAGCCAGCTGTCCCATTTCCGTGAAGATCACTGAGGAGGAGGATGGAGCCCGCTGACCCCTGTCTCTGTGAAGATCACTGAGGAGAAGGATGGAGCCATGACAATGGAGCCTGCTGCCTGACAGAAACCACATTGGGGTCAGGGTGCTGGCATTGAGACTCAGGACAGGTGCCCCATCTGTCCCAGATGGTACAGGGTTGGCCCTCCTCTTGGGACTGGTGGCCCTTGCCCTCAGCCCCGTCATGTGCCCCTAGGCTCTGGTGAGCAATGTGTCTGCTCCTCCTCTTGGTAAGTTTCTGGCATCTCTTTCCTGCTTCCATCCCTGCCAATGAGGCCCCTGGCCAACTCAGACCTGAAGGCTGCACCTCTGCTGGCAAGAGTCCTGATGTCCTCTTGCCGCCTACCACCCTGAGCAAGCACCCTTGCCTGTTGGGCACGGTGCCAGGGCCAGCTCCAGCACAAGCAAGCCAGCAGGTGTGGTTGATGCACACCTAGCAGCTTGTCTCATCCCCACATTCAGAGTAACCCATGCAGGTGTCTGATGGGGTTTTGTCTTATTTCTTCTAGATTCTTCTGACGTAGAGCGACTGGAAAGATTCTTTGACTCAGAAGATGAGGACTTCGAAATCTTGTCCCTTTGAAAATCCTAAAGTCGGGGGATATCTCGACTGGCCCTTGCTGGGGTGCATTTGAGAGCCCAGCTTGGCCTCAGGGCGCTTGGTGCCACCGCATTTCATCCATCCTGCCCACCTGCCCACCGCCCATGTCCTGGCCGCCTCTGCCCTCGACGGGGGACTGCATTATGCTCAAGGCCTCACTGCAGGAGTGGGACTGCTTGGCCCAGACACTTCGGGCTGCTGGAGAGAACCAGGAATCGCAGGGAGCAGAGCAGCGGCAGGGCTTGAGTGTTCACGTCACCTTCGTCCTGCTTCCTTCAGGCTCTCAGTTCTAGGTTTTCTTTGGAATTAAAGTCCTGTTTGAAGTTACTCGACACAGACATGCATTTCTGTTGGGCCTGTTCTGAGTCCAAGAAGACTGGAGACCAAATGAGAAGTGGCCCTGGGACTAAGCCTGCAAGCCCTCCACCTGCAGCCCTCCCGTGGCTCTACCAGGCTGCCTAGTGGGAGACAGGAAGGAGTGACCACCTGGCATCTCTTGGCTTTGGAGAGAGAAATAGCAGAGAGGTAGGGCATGGTGCAAACCAGAGACCACCATGCGTGTGACTTGCCAGGAAAGAGCTACAGGTAGAGCCCAAGTGGACTCACTTTCCTCACCTTTTGGTTCCAGCATTTTGAGACACCCACGTGCTGCTGCTTACTTGTTGCACTGGCTTTCCCTGGGTGGGCGGTGGGTGGTGGGTGAGTGGGGAGCTGCCTTGGTCTGTGATCCTTGGGCCCATGCGGGACATGGGGGCACGGCAAGCCTGGCAGGCAGAGGCTAAGGGCACCACAGAACTGCGCTCCCGGTACTGAAGCTTCAGATGGTTTGGGGCCAAAGGGTGAAACCCTGCTCATGGTGCAAGATAGGCACCCCATCGCTCATCACGTCACTTGGAGACATTTCCAGGTCCTTCTCAGCACTGACTGACAGCACCTGCAGCCCTGAACCCTGATTGGGCCCAGAGAGCATGGCTTCCATGCAGGCTTCGAGTCCTGAAGAGTAGCCTCCGTGAGACCTTCCAACAGGCACCTGGGGAGCTCAGGGAGGTGGCGCCTTCTTCCCAGGGTCTTCCTTGCAGAGCCCCGCCCTCCCTCGGCATCTGCACCTGGGACCGCGGGCGGGGGCCCACCTGATGGCAGAGAACACCCAGCCCCTGAGTGTCGCCGACATAAGTTAATTTGCTCTTGTCTCTCCCTCCTCCAGGGAAGGAGGAAGGCTGGGCGGTCTCCATTCCTTCTGCTGCATCTTGGAAATGTGCCGCCCTGCCTGCTGGGCCAGGGAGTCTTACTGCAGCCCCCCGTGTGGTGCAGACGGTGGAAGTGGGTGACAGCCTGGCCAAAGGGGAGCTTTGTCTTAGTGATTTGAGAAGGATTACTGAAGAGAGTGTTGTCTATTCTTAGTAGTTTGCAGTTCTTCATCGCAAATAACAGTTTCAGTAGAAAACAAAGTCTATTGTCTCTGTCTTGGCCTTTCCTCGTTAGAGTTGTAGTGATGGAACAAGAATGAACATTTTCTAAGCTCATGTCCACGGATCTCAGTGAGGATTTGTGGACTCATGGCAAGCTCATCTCCCCCACACTAGGCAGACGGACCTCAGCTGACAAGGCTCTGCTAGCTGCGACACGCTTCCTGTGGTCCCAAAGCAAAGAGGACGAGGAAACTTGGTTTAGGAAAACACACAATAACCCATTCTTCAGCAGGAGTAGTTAGCCTAGTTTGTTGTCCCTCGGGTGAGCCGAGACTACTGGCCGAAGGCAGTTGCTGGTGCCTCAGCCAGTTCCTCACCGTGCCCGAGATGTCCTAGCCGGACAATGCAGGGGGTGACTCGCCTACTTGGCTCCCTGCTTCCTGCCACCCGTCCTTTGTTTAGGTGCAAGGGGACCAATGCCAGAAAAGAAAGCAGGAAACATTGTGCTGGTCCCCAGGTGAGGTGGCCCAGGAACCCGAGTCATGGCCTCTGTTAGCATCTGCTGTAACAAATCTTGCCCAGTGGCTTCAAACAACAGACATTCAGGTCCTGAGGGCAGTGGTCAAACAAGATGTCAGCAGGGCACGCTCCTCCTGTGGCACCTGGGACGTTTCCTCGCCTTGTCCAGCTTCTGGAAGCTGCCCTCCTGCCCTCCACCCTCAGTGAAGATGCCTTTGCACCCTCCCTCTGGCTCGGCCTCTCCTGCTTCTCTCTGTTGGAGGCCCTTCCTGGACAGTCTAGGATGGCCGCCTGTCTCAAGGTCCCTCTGCCTTTAGGGACCTTGAGACAGAGGTGCTCTTCACAGGTTGTAGGGTTGAGAATGCAGGTGTCTTTGGAGGCCTTTTTTCTGTCAATGCCTCAAAGGCTTCTTTAGGGTGCTGGGAGGCAAACAGCCCCTCAGCTAAACCTGCTGCCACAACCCTGGCCAGGCTGTTTGACAACGAGTGCTGTATTTATTGAAGAAAGTTTAAGTGGCCTTGTTGATTTGAAAGTCAGCCCATTTCTACTTTCGCCCAGCTCCACTGCCTACCACCTGTGGGACTCTGTTCAGCTCCGGCCTCTGAGCCTGCTCATCTCTGACCCCACAGCTCCGAGAGGATGGTCTCTACTGAAACCTCCACCTCATCCCAACATCCTGACCCTCGGCAGAGAAAGTTCCTAGTCCCGTTTCCAGCCCTTCCCAGCTCCAGCTGAGGGGTCTACACTCAGCCCTCATCCCAGCCTGTGCTGGGTGCTTAGGGCACAGCCTGGACCCACCCACCTCCCTCTGGTCATCTCACCCATGCCCACTGCCAACACCAACCCTCCCTGACAGCCACGACCTCTGTGAGTGCCAGCCTGATCCTGATGTGTCCACAAAGGCAGGGGAGCTACTGGTTCAGGTCTCAAGAAATCAACCCAGTTTCCTTTCATTTTAGATGGGACCTGGTTATGTAAGAAGTCAACCAGGCAGGTGAGTGATAGGCGTGTCCCAGTAGGGGACCCAGGGACTGTCTTAATGAAAACGATTGACTCTGTGCGACTCCTGGAATTCTGACCTCACAGGTGTATAGCGTGGTCTGGTGGATGTGCTGACGCCCACGGACGACCTCCCATCAGCAGGGCTACAGTGAGCAACTCGAACCCCATGAGTAGATAGAAGAACCACGCTCCCAGGACCAAGTGTGCCGACACCAGCTGTCCTCATCTGTCGTGCCTTGTGTCCTCAAGGTGATATGGAGGGACCAGGACAGAGGGCCAGGCAGCCTGGGTAGCTTGGGGGAGCTGGGGTCTGGCTGCCACTGCTATGCAGTACCTCCCAGCCAAATGTAGGTTCTGCCTCAGTCTGGTCTGAACTGTCAGTTGACCACTTACAACTCGGGGGGTTAAGCAGATACCTGTGTATTTGTTTTTTTCTGCCTAGAATCCAGTGTCCTGGCTTCAGAAGGGCACTGAGCCGCACAGTGCTGTCTGAACAGAGGGCGTCCCTGTGCAGCACCTGGTGGATTCTCCTAGGAAGGGTGGACTAGGCAGGGTCCACGCTTATCTGGGTTCCACAGAGAAGGCTGCCCTTCATGCCCACATGGACACGGGCAGGATGTAACCAGGCTGCCTGGTCCCTCCATATCACCTTGAGGACACAAGGCATGACAGATGAGGATGGCTGGTGTCTGCACACTCGGTCCTGGGGGTATGGTTCTGGTATCTGCTCACACGGGGTTCTAGTTGCTCACTGTAGCCCTGCTGATGGGAGCAGGTCACCTTTGGGCATCAGCACATCTACCAGACCATGCTGTATACGTTAGAGCAGTTCAAGATAGAACGGAATGAAATCATATTCCTGGCATTTAGGACCACAGCAGGAACAACAAAGGTACCAGCTGGCCCTAGCTGGTTTTGCTCAGTGGATAGAGAATAGGCCTATGGACTGAAAGGTCTCGGGTTCGAGTCCAGTCAAGGGCACATGCCCAGTTGTAGGTCCAATTCCCAGTAGGGGGCATGTAGGAGGCAGCCAGTCAATGATTCCCTCTCCCTTCTTCTCTGAATCAATAAAAATACATATTTTTTAAAAAGGTACCTACCAACTATGTTCAGATGAAATGGGACATCATACCTCAAGACACAGCCAGCCAGACCCAGTGAGGCCAGACCAATGGGGGTGGTTCAGAGAAGCCCTACTGGGCCAGCGTAGGGCTCTCCCACCCAGAAGGACTCTTAAGGAGAGGAGGCCTTCGACAACGTACTTTCAAAGTAACTTTTATTCGTGCCTGTAAGAAATTCAGATTTTAAACTGATTGCCACATCAATTATCTTTTTTTTTAAAAATATATTTTATTGATTTTCTACAGAGAGGAAGGGAGAGGGACAGAGAGCTAGAAACATCGATGAGAGAGAAACATCGATCAGCCGCCTCCTGCACATCTCCTACTGGGGATGTGCCCGCAACCCAGGCACATGCCCTTGACTGGAATCGAACCTGGGACCCTTCAGTCCGCAGGCCGACGCTCCATCCACTGAGCCAAACCGGTTTCGGCACATCAATTATCTTGAACCTGCTTGGATATGGTTATCATTAAGTTTCAATAAAAAGCGCAATGATTTATCAACATCCTCAGGGTGAGAGGGCAGAGGAAGGCTGAGTGACAGACCACGAAGTCCCTGTGCCCAGGCCTCTCGAGAGGCTCGTCGTAGCTCTGCTTGTTGTTGACTTGTGCACAGCCCCCATGTTGTGCAATGTGAACACTGCACATCAAGCCTTTCATAAGGCTCCTGCCTCGCAGGACCCAGGGAAGGGGACAGTCCCTCCACATTTATGTCCACAGCTTCCCCAGCGGCCTGTGCGCTGCAGCCTGGATGATATCCTCAGAGAGCGTGCAGATTTCCTTGTGGACGTCTTCAATGCTTTTGGAAGCATCAACCACCTATTCCCATGGGATGTCAGGAGAAAAAGGATGGTTAATGCTCTTCACCTTTGAACATGTGGATTTCAGACAGGGCTGGGTCTGGGAAGGGCACAGTACAGGCCCCTTGGAGTCCTTCACACCTTTCTGACCCTCAGCCCCAGCTGGGCCGGGAGGGCTTTGCTTGTATCCTTGGGACGAAGCTAACCCACATACCTGCTGCATCCCAGATGCAGAACACCCTATCCTCCTGATCGTCTTCCTCCTCCCCGTGACTCCCCCAGGTAAACACACATCAGCTCTCCTCAGGTCTGGCTGAGGAGGCAGAGAGAGGGCAATGCCTGTGCTAGGCTATATTCCCACACATCCTCGGCCACAAAATTCACTCATTAAATGCTGTGTTCTCATGGAAAGCATGAGGATCTCTGGTACCAAGGGAGCCAGCCCACGAGAAACATCTCCACCAGGGTGTGGGAGACTGGGGATTCAAGTCCTCCTCCTACCATCGATCTAGGTCTAGGCTAGTGATGGCGAACTCATTTTTTTGGTTGATTTTTCTTTGTTAAATGGCATTTAAATATATAAAATAAATATCAAAAATATAAGTCTTTGTTTTACTATGGTTGCAAATATCAAAAAATTTCTATATGTGATACGGCACCAGAGTTAAGTTAGGGTTTTTCTTTTCTTTTTTTTTTTTTAATAATTAAAATCTTTATTGTTCAGATTATTACATTTGTTCCTCTACGTTAGGGTTTTTCAAAATGCTGACATGCTGAGCTCAAAAGGTTCGCCATCACTGGTCTAGGCCAAGAACAGCCAATTCTGGAAAAGCTCCTGGGGGGTGTAGACGAACTCAGAAAAATGCAATAATGAGGTCTGACTAGGCAGAAATGAGAATGACTCCTGAGACCCCACACAAGTACACCCCGAAGGTCACCTCACCAGCCACTGCTCCAGCAGCACAGCTCTTACACAGACCTTCCCAGACAGCAACACTGGATGGTGTGAGGGCCGTTAGCCACCAATTAATTTTCAAATGGTCCTCGGGAAGTTTTTGTACTATACTTGCAACTTTTCTGGAAGTATCTTATTGCTTAAAAACTTTGAAAAAGAATGCTAAAAAAAAGACAACTTTCAGATAAACAAAAGCTGAGAATCCTATGCTAGGAGACCTGCCCTACAAGAAAAGGAAGTTCTTAAGGCTGAGGGAAACAAAACATGATTGGAAACTCGGAAGGAGAGATAAGCACCAGTGTGGGCCAGTAGGAAATAAAGTTTTCTGTTTGTTTTCTGATTCATATTCCTAGCACACTACATTCTTGGCTTGATCCTTGCAGATGTTGAAATGTGTTATAAATGAGAATCATTTAAATCATGTGGAACTGACTCCAGGGTTCAGTGTGAGACGCTCCATCAGTACAAGTGAAAGCCATGTGAAGCTCTATGTTGCTACTCCCTCATAGGGAGGAAGGGCTCGTGGTCACCCCAGACGGGCCATGGGGCTCCGCATTGACCTGAGCACACATGAAAGAGAAGAGAAACAAGCCCACCCCAGCAGCAGGCTCAGCTCCTAGGACGGAGGTGGGGAAGCACACGCCAGATGACAGGGTCAACAGCTTAACCTTTCAGAGTCACATGGATGCAGCGTGTGACCAGCAGTGGACCTGGTCAACAGAGGATAAAAGTGGCTCTCAAGCCTGGGGTGGCACCTGCAGCACCGCCTGACCTCTAGAGCCCAGGCACTCAGATGTGCCTGAGAGAAGGCAGTGGTGGGATCTGCTTTGGCCCTGCTGGCAGGACAGTAGCTCATCTGCAGGGAGGAGGAGTAAGGCTGATGCCTGGGACTGAGGCCAGGACACCGGATGATGGGCGCCGAGATGAAGGAGAGCCCCACCCAGCACAGGGAGATGGCTGAGTGGGCCATGGGGGTGGTGTCGGGGCTCAAGCACCCTAGGCCAGGCCAGCAAAGTCAGGAGCCGTCTCCTGCCCAGGAGCTAGTGAGGAGACAGGCATGCCCCCCACAAGTGGTGCAGGAACACCCAGGAGCTGGCACTGTGCAGGACAAGGGGCGTAAGGGAGGCAGTCTCTGACCCAGCAGCTGAAAGGGGGTGGACTGAGGGCTGGCCCCCCAAATGGACAAGTTCAGACTTCTGATGCAAGGACCTAAGCACAGACTGCAAGATAAAGTATTACTCTTCCAATAAGCATGGAAGGTGATGTGAGGAGTAACTCGGGGATTTTATGTTCTGGATGACAAGGTCACATGGCTAATGCTCAGCAGAGGACAGGAACCTGCTGAGCAGTCAGCTCTGGAAAGGACCCACCAGGGAGGATTGCTGCTGTGGGGCTGGTGCCTGTCAAACTGTCCTCCAACCCACCTACAAGACACCCAATTTCCACACTTTGAGAAGCTGGCACCGGGACCTTGAGGGTGCCCACACTCCTGGGTGCAGCTCTGGCACTAGGGTGACTCTCACCTTCCAGTTTAGGGTCCTGTCCTCCATGAGCTGGTAGTAGCATTGCAGTACCCGCTCCTGGAAGGCCCCATCCTCATAGCGTTCTTGGCCGAACCCGCCCCGCTCCACAGCCTCTGCCAACCTCAGCTGAAGAAACACGACCAGGTCTGGTTTGGGAAGGCCCACGTCTGGCTGCTTGCACCAATGCAAAGAAAAGTTCTGCAGCAAAGAAACTGATGATCAGAGAAAGAAGCTGAATGGGGCCTAATGTGTTGTCTTAAAATCCATAAAAAAGGAGGGGAAATGAGCTACCATTTCTTGAGACAGCAAGAAGTGAGGATCCCAGTAGTGACTTGATTTTTTAGATCATGAATGTTTTACTATTTCCCTTGGCACCTCCTTCTGGTTTAATTTTGTGAGCACATTCAAAAGTGGATAGAGCTGTGGCCAGTGTGGCCCACTTGGTTGGGCGTGGTCCCTTGCACAGAAATATTGCTGGTTCAATTCCCAGTCAGGGCACATGCCTAGGTTGTTGGCTCAATACCAGGTAGGGGGTGTAGGAGGCAGCCAATCAATGTTCTACTCTCACATTAATGTTTCTCTTTCTCTCCCCTCTCCCTCTCTCTCTAAAAACCAATAAAATATCCTCTGGTGAAGATTTTTTTAAAAAGTTATTTGGGGGATGCATACTGAAACATTTATGAAGCAAATGATGTGTCTGGTGGTCACAGTACTAGGTGATTTATCATTTTCTCTGCTGGTACATATTTGAAACTTTCTAAATAAAAAGCAGAAATAAGGGGCAGTACAGTCACTGCCATTCTACTTGGGACAGGAAGTCAGGAAAATATAAACAAAGCACCAGATGCTCTCACCATCTGGTCTGGACACAAGGCTGGGATGGAAAGCCCTGCTGACAGACCACCTCTGGAAATGTGTGATGTGAAAACAAGCTGCATCTACACCAGTGTTTGCCTTTCCCTTAGATAAGACCAGATTCCAGCAGATGGCCATAAGGCCCACACAACTTGCTGTGTGATGTCATGGCCCTGCTCTAGACAGTCACACTAGCGGCCTCCCACCGGGCTGGGCAGCACTCACCTCCTTGGCATTGGTAAAGGCAACACCAGAAAACGCGTATCTGTCCACGATGAGGGTGATGCCCTGGCTCAACCTTTCCTTAATCAATGGCCTAAAAAAACAGAAAATGCTTCTGAGCCATGGACCCAACTCCACATCCCCAGAACCGTCATGTTACAATCATCCTGATGACAATTCAGTAATTCAGTAACCTGACGGATTACGGGCCAGTGATTTGTAACCTTATTCTTAAAGATTAAAAAAAAGAGAGAGAGAGCTCGGGATCTCCTCCTAGAAGATGCCACACAGGCACTCCCAGCAAAGTCCAATGTGAAACACAAGTCCCCTAATGAACCACAGACATCACTGACAAAGATGGCAGGGAAGCCTATGGCAGGAGAGTGGAGCAGTGGACTCGGCCAGAAGATGATGCTGAGAACATTCTCACAGGTGACAGCAGCTTAGGAAGATGTGCAAAGACAAAGGTCTGACATCAGCAAGAAGCATCGCTTGCACTTTGGGGAACAAAAGGATTTTGCCACCTGTGACCTGGAGAAGCCCACAGAAGAGTAGGGATGGGAGATCACACTTGCGACAGCGAGATGCAGTTCTCATCACAGCTTCATTTGTGATTCCAAGCTATTAAAAAAACTACCTAACCTGCAAACAGGAAGTATGGCACATGCACAACTGAGAAGGTCCAACTGTATAAAGAATGAGAAAGCCCTAACCCAGGGGTCCTCAAACTTTTTAAACAGGGGGCCAGTTCACTGTCCCTCAGACTGTTGGAGGGCCGGACTATAGTTTAAAAAAAAACTATGAACAAATTCCTATGCACACTGCACATATCTTATTTTGAAGTAAAAAAACAAAACGGGAACAAACACAATATTTGTATTTGCATGTGGCCCGAGGGCCGTAGTTTGAGGACCCCTGCCCTAACCGGTTTGGCTCAGTGGATGGAGCATCGGCCTGTGGACTGAAGGGTCCCAGGTTTGATTCTGGTCAAGGGCACATTCCGGGTTGCGGGCTTGATCCCCCAGTAGGGGGCGTGCAGGAGGCAGCCTATCGATTCTCTCATCGTTGATGTTTCTCTCTCATTCTCCCTCTCCTTTCCTCTCTGAAATCAAAAATATTTTTTTAAAAAAACAAGAAAGACGTCCATAAGGAGATATAAACCAGTCTCCTAATGTGTCACTAATAAAGCAAAGTACAAACAAGTACATATGGCTATCTTTTCAATAAGGTATATCACACACACAAAAATGGTTATCAAAACAACACATACCTATTTGCTTATTTTATAAATAAATACATAAGGAGGGGACACTATTCCCCACAGCGGAGGACAGGTGTTGGACAGATGGGAAATGGACAGGGCAGTGACATATTTTGTATGGTTTTAACTTTTAGAACCATATAATGTTTTATGAATTAAAAAATGAAAATTAAATCAACAAAGATTAAAAAAACCCCTAAAATTGTAGTTGAATGAACCTAACCATATCCCATATGAACACACAGGGAAGGGAAAACCTGCCCCAGAGACTTGAGCACAGCACTCTGTGCCCATGTGCTAAGGACAGAGCTGCCCACCACCTTGACCACTACGCAGGCTCTTACAGAGGTGTGGACCGCGGGCGGGCAGGTCCCCTAATGAGCCACCCTCAGTGATGTCTGTGGTTCAATAGGGAACTTGTTTCACTGTGAACTTAAGTGAATCGAAGATATAAACAAGAACACTGTGGGGGAGCCTGTGATGCTGGACGGCAACAGGTGTCAGCATGAACGGAGTTTCAGTGTAGATGTGTAGTCATCCCCCGCATCTGCAGGAGATTAATGTTTCTCTCTCATCGATGTTTCTAACTCTCCCTCTCCCTTTCTCTCTGTAAAAAAAAATCAATAAAATATATTTAGCCAAAACCGGTTTGGCTCAGTGGATGAGCGTCGGCCTGCGGACTGAGGGGTCCCAGGTTTGATTCCGGTCAAGGGCATGTGCCTGGGTTGCGGGCACATCCCCAGTGGGAGATGTGCAGGAGCGGCTGATCGATGTTTCTCTCTCATCGATGTTTCTAACTATCTCTCTCCCTTCCTCTCTGTAAAAAAATCAATATATTTAAAAAATAAATTAATTAATTAATTAAAATAAAATGAAATATATTTAAAAAAACTAAAAAAAACAAGGCCTGGGAACACAACCAATGGACCAGCTTGAAAAGCCTCCCACCAGCCAAATTTGGAACAACCTGAACATCAAAAAACAGGAGTAGCTTGTGACCAACTGACTAAAGAATCTGAGTCCACACTGATGACGAATGGATGGGGGAGGGAGGAAAGCCCTTCCTTACATAGAATACCAACAAAAATAGAAAAAATGGAATTATAAAGTCGCCCTTTGAAATCACAATGACTGCCTCAGGCAGAATTCATGAATGCTACAGCAGAGGATCAGAGTTTGCTAAGGAAGGGGATGTTTATATAATTTTGTAGTATTTCTCCTTTTAAGTATTTTTTAACATATTTTTATTGATTTCAGAGAGGGAGGGGGAAAGAAACATCAATGATAATAACTGATCAGCTGCCTCTTGCAAACCCCTTATGGGGATCAAGCTTGCAACCCCAGCATGTGCCCTGACCAGAATCAAACTGAAACGATGCTCAACCGCTGAGTCACACGGGTGGGCTCCCCTTTTAACTATTTCCAACAGGACAGACAGTCACTTAGTGGAAGGGCCTCGCCAGCAGCCTCCTAAGAGACTCAGGGAACCTGCAAATGATGGCTAAATGCCTCACCTCCCTCTTGCCCAATGCCCTAAGGACCCAAAACCAAAATTGCATACCTAAGTCCACTTGTGAGGAAACACCGGACAAATGCAGCACTTTATAAATGGTTTGTAACTTTTTAGAGAGAGCAAATGAAAATGTGGCAAATGTTAATCCTAGGTGAAGGTTGGTGAAAGACTTATGGGAATTCTTGGTACCAGTCTTACCTTTTCAGCTGACTGAAATTATTTCATAATAAGTTTAAAAACAGGCAGAGTAGCAAATTGCTATGGGAAGTAAGAGAAATCACTTATTTCTGGGGATACGTTCCTGCATGAAGATATTTAAGGCCATAGAGGGCAGGCAGGTTTTGGTAAAAGGAGATAGGGAGGGATCTGAAGGGTGTTACCCCCATTGTTTTGAGGTATTTTCAGGGACCACCATCAACCCAGTTCAGATGAAGCAAAACTAAGGGTGAAAGATTAAATGGCTGGAGGAAATAATCAGTTTCCGCACAAAGTGCTTCAAGTACAAGGGAGAAATCAAAACAGCCGAGGCTTACCAAGCACTTGCTCCCACCCTGCCTGGCCGACTTCAGGTGACTGTCACACCAGACCCACAAGGGGCACTGTTGTGCCAATGATGAAGCTGTGGTTGAGGGCTGAGCAAGACACCAAGGTCACAGAGATGGTGGACAATGGTACCACTTGTGAACTCAGCACCTGACCTACCACCCAAGGACTTTCAGGTCTTAGGAACACTAATCTGACAGTACTGGCTGGAATGATCTGCAAAGGGGACTATGTGTTGTGTCAGAACAGAGGGACAACTGACAGGTCTTTTCCACACCAGGGACAAGACCACTATTTAGGAAATAGTTAGCATTATTTCTCATTTTGATTTGGGCCTACATTACTTTTCTACAAAGCCACAAAGATAAAACAAAATCAGAACAATAACATCCATAAATTGCAGATGTGAGATTATAAAAATGGTCTTGGTGTCTTAAGAGTGGTATTACAGTGGGGAAGGCCTTTCCAAGCAAGACAGCAAGCTAAGCAGAGAGTAGAGCATTGTCCCTGCTTGTAAGAGGGACAATGCAAAACCCCTGAATGTCCATCAACATCTGCTGTGAACGCCCTTCTGGAGAGCAGGCTATAGCACTAGGAAAGAGTGAGAAGAGAGGCCTCCTTCAGATATCAAAGGTCTGTAAGGCAGTTAGAAAGCAGCTGCAAAATTATTTGTATGGTAGGTTCCCATTTATTTATAACGGAACAACTCCAATGCTGTATTATCTACATACGTGTAAATGGAAACAAGAGCCTCTGAAAGCACACACCATATCGCTCAGTAAACAGTTAAATGTTGAGAGGACTCTACTAAGATGTAAAACAAAAAAGGGTTGGGAGAGAGGATGAGATACCAACCTAAACTGTGAACTTCAGTTAAACAAATATATAATCTAGAAAACTGTAGGGGGCCCTAACCAGTTTGGCTCAGTGGATACAGCATCAGCCTGTGAACTGAAGGGTCCCAGGTTTGATTCCGGTCAAGGGCATGTATCTTGGTTTTGGGCACATCCCCAGAAGGGGGTATGCAGGAGGCAGCTGATCAATGTTTCTCTCTCATCGATGTTTCTAACTTTCTATTCCTCTCCCTTCCTTTCTGTAAAAAATCAATAAAAATAGATTTAAAAAAGAAGAGGAAAACTGGGGGAGCAGGAGGAAGGGACAGGAGTATGGGACAATCTAGTACTTTCTGATAACCCTTTCTGTAAAGCTAAAGCTACCTAAAGGAAATTAATTAATTACAAAGAGGTGGTGGGCAGGAGGCAGAAAAAGCATTAATCAGTGCTCTTTGGGAGTACACAGCGATTAGATCTGGTCACAGGACTGGTGCATAAAAGAACCTTGTAAAGGCACAGCCTCTGGCATCACTATCCACTCCCCTCCTGAATCTCAAGAGGGAGAAAAGCATTGGGGGAGAGATGGAGGGCAATGGTATTACACTTGTTCCCAGCGGTTTGCAGAGAAAAGTAGGTGCACTGAGTGATCCTCCACCTCACTCTTCTTTTCCAAATAAGAACTCAGAAGTTTGCCAATTTCAGTTGATCTTTCTAAAAAAAGAGAGAAACACACAAAAATGAGGCTTTCCATCTACATTAGAATAGTTTGAACTAAACTTCTGGTCCTGACTCAAGTCTAAGTTTGAGTTTTATTTTACTACATCACTACACAGATTTAGACCTTCCCCTGAAGCTACAGGCGCTTCCCTGAGAAAATGCAGCAGTATGCAGGCACACTGGGGAGCAGTTACCTCAAAGGAAGTATTTCTAACATTTGTAGAATGGCTGGCTTAAAGATTAGGACAATATTCAAAACAGCATTTCCCCCATTTCCTTCTCCTTGTTTTGTAAGCCTTACGCTGTCTCCTGGTTATCTGAATATTGATATTTTTATAAGCACTTTCAAGATCAATATTTTACTTTAAAAATTAAAAAATATGCCACAAAACCCTTGAGAGGGCAAACAGCAAAACAAAAAACAAAACAGAAACAAAACAGAAACCTGGCCCTAGCTGGTTTGCTCAGTGCGGACTGAAGGTTTCCTGTTGGATTCCAGGCAAAGGGGCTCAATCCCCAGTAGGGGGCCTGCAGGAGGCAGCCAATCAATTATTCTCTCATCATTGATGTTTCTCTTTCCCTCTCCCTTCTTCTCTGAAATCAATAAAGATAAGTTTAAAATAATAATAATAACGATAGTATATTTTAAAAAAACATATTTTAAAAAAACAAACAGAAATCTGAGACATGGATTACAAAACAGCACCAGGAAAGGGGGAGGGACTAAGCGGGGGGGGGGGGGGGAATGGAAGATATCTGTAATACTATCAACAGTAAAAAATAAAACAAGCAAAAACGAAACAGCACTAGCAAACTTTTGGGGATGACAGATACAGTCTTGACTGTGAAGTTTCACGGGTGTATAATTATGTCGAAGCTCGTCACACACTTCCCACATATGCACGTTACTGTACATCAATTACAGATCAATACAGCCGTGCAAAAGTAAAAGCACGGATGCATCCAATACCGACGGACAGGACACAGCGACCACAGGACTAACAAGTGAGAAAGCCAATGATGGCCACAGACGGCAACCACAGAGCTCCAGGTAAACCATCTTTGCACAGGTCAATTAGAGTAAGGTCGGCATGAGGCTCGGTTTCTTCATTCTCAGACACCTTTAGATGAGACCACACCAAACCCGCCCTCAACCACAAACGCGGCAGATTCGGGGGAGAACCGAGCACCGCGGGCACATTCGGTCCCCGGATCTGGGTTCCCCCTGCTCCTCGCGGTGCTCCGGCCCCCGGGCTCCCGCCGCCCGACCTTTCCCGCCCGCAGCTCCCCACCGCCTGCCAGGCCCGCCCGAGGGCTCCACCCACCCGGGAAGCGTAGCAGCTCGGCGGGATGGCCGGCGGCGCAGAGCGCGGCCACCAGCTTGCGGCTCTGCGTGCTCTTCCCGGCGCGGTCCACGCCTTCCAGCACGATGAGCGCCCCGCGCCGGCCCGCCATGGCCACGTCTTCGCCGCCCGCCAGGGCTCTAAAATGCCGCGCGTCGTTCGGAGCTTCCATTGGCTGACGTCAGCGGCGCGCGCTAGGATTGGCTGCTATTTTCCATCGTTGGTCGGATTGGCTAGAACGGCTGTTCGCATCGCCTCTTCCGGCGGAGTCCCCGCTCTCTAAGCCGGAAGCCGAGTGCGGGACTTAGTTCTCGGTCGCGCCTGGAGCTAGGCTGCGGCGCGTGGGCTGGAGGCCCAGGCGCGGGAGGGCTCGTGGCGCGTCCGCGACGACTTGCGGCGGAAGGACGGCACGGGCCGCAGGCAGGTCTCGCGAGCAGGCCGGGCATTGTAACGCTCGCCGGCCCACGCCCGCTCCGTCGGTGTCCAGCAGCGCGGGGAGGGGCTGTGTGCACGGGGCCCACGCACAGCTTAGTAAACACGGGCCTGCCAAGCTCCGAGACTTCCATTTGCAAAGACTGCGTGTGCACACTCACAGGAGGAAAGGAAAGCAGGGCGGTCGTTTCGCCTGTGACATGTGGCCACCGACCAGGAGAGGTCCCTGTCGTGGGGAGGCGACACGTCTGGTCTGAGAGCAGCCCCGGCATCTGGAGAGCGTCCAGTGACGTTTGCTGCTCTTGTCTCAGGGACATCGGGCTGCGGCGGCATCTGCCAAGTGACACTGCGCACTTGGGGGTGCCGCCTTCCTCTCCTCACACGCGCACTTTTCCCACATGACGGTTCCGCCCTCTGATCTGTCTAAACCCTATCACCCCGAAGGCCCGTCCCCGAATCCATCTCGTTGTGGGGACACAAACATTCAGACCGGAGCAAGCCAGGAATTTCTGTTTTCCAGAATTTCTGTGTCGTCCTGGCTTAGGTTGCCCTTAGGCACTGGTACAAACTTTGGAGGCCACTGTTTTGGGGAGGTGCATGCAGCAGAAATGCAGATGTGGAATTCCGGGCTGCTCTCTAGCGAGCTGTTGCGAACCACCTGCCTCGCTGCTGCAGACCAAGAGGTCGGTGAGTCACCGCCCTTAGGGTTGAGCAGTGCCTGGGCTGAGGCCCTTGGGGCCATTTCCGACCTTTCCTCTCCCTCCCTCCCCCCTTCTCTCGGTGGTTGCGGAAGCCCAATGATAATATTACCCAAGATACCTACAGTGAGTTTTGGAAGGGTGATAGATTATATTGTTTCCAATTATTTGCTTCCTTGATGTTGAGCTTGGCCACGTGACTTCCAAACACTGCTGTAAAGTAATCACAGCTGACAGCACACGGTCGGGCAGAAGCTTTGAAAGCAGTTTGGCTCACCCATCCCCCCCCCTTGGCCCCCAGGTGAGAGCAGCTTGCGTGCAACTAGGGCTGCCTTTTCACTCTGATTCCTGGAATAAGACATGGCCACAGCCAAGCTACAGCCACTGCAGCTGATAGGTAGCTCCAGTAAGAAAAACTGAGGTAACTCAAGTCACTGAGACTTTGGGGTTCTTTGTTACTGTAGCAGGACCCAATGAAAGCTCATGACAGAATGACTGTTGCTTAATACCGCCTTACTTAGGTAAGCAATATCCTGCTGTCTCATTGATGTCTTCTAAAATGTCCATTTCCTGCCCTAGCAGGTTTGGCTCAGTGAATAGAGCCTCAGCCTGGGGACCAAAGGGTCCCAGATTAGATTCCGGTCAAGGTCAAGGGCATGTACCTCGATTACAGGCTCCTCCCCCACCCAGGCCCTGGTCAGTCCTCCTGCAGGAGGCAACCAATCGATGTGTTTCTCTCATATCGATATTTCTTTTTTTTTTTTAATATATTTTATTGATTTTTTTACAGAGAGGAAGGGAGAGAGAGAGAGAGAGAGTTAGAAACATCGATGAGAGAGAAACACCGACCAGCTGCCTCCTGCACATCTCCCACTGGGGATGTGCCCGCAACCCAGGTACATGCCCTTGACCGGAATCGAACCTGGGACCTTTCAGTCCGCAGGCCGATGCTCTATCCACTGAGCCAAACCGGTTTTGGCTCATATCGATATTTCTGTCTTTCCCTCTCTCTCCCACTCTCTCTTAAAAAAAAAAAAAAAAATCAATGGAAAAATATCCTTGGGTGAGGATTAACAAAAAAATAAAAATAAATAAAATAAAATATCCCTTAAAAAAAAATGTCCATCTCCTTGTCTTCAAAAGAGGAAGGGATTCGAGTATAGTACAGAAGAGAACCCTCCTGGCATTGGATAAGTCTCAGTGCTGTAGGCAGTTAGACATGACAGAGCAAGGAAGATGGGCCAGGTATAGGTCATCAGGGTAGAAAGCCCCAGGTGCCCAGCAATGGACAATCAATTATAGGGTGGGACCTTGCCCCCAGGGTGACTTTTCCTCCCCTAGCACATCACTGGTCAAGAGGTTTGGGCCCCCTGACCTTTCCTCTCTAGAGATAACATCTAGGCCTGTTGTATTTCAGCTCCAGGCCCAGGTAAGCAGTAAAACCAGCCAGGCATGGAATAAAGACCCCCCTGCCCTGGTGCCAACCAATCAGTGGAGACCACAACCCTGAAAGGATGCACCTGGAAAACTGCTGAATATTCTATTAAGATCTTTCCCTGGGACCTCCCCTAAAATCTCACATTACCATTCCTCACTTCCAAGCTCCAAGGGCCCTTCCTTTACCTCCATAACTTGTTTCCTAAGCCTATTTCTTCTAGGACTTACTTTTTCTACCTCTGTAATTTACCAAATAAATGTTCTCTTACAGTTTGGGTCTTGCTCTGAATTCTTTCCTTGCCAGAACCCAAGTACCAAGGTTGCTGAACCCAGGTTTGGTCTGACCCCACTGGTCAGACACCTGGTGCTATTCCCACCACCTACTTCATCAGGACAGCCTTGTACCACATCTGTAGGACCAGCTTACCAGGCAGATGGGAACCTTTGTGAGTACACAGCTGTCCTGGTCACCCATGAAAATAGAGGGGACTTGGCTGATGGGGCCTTGATACTGAGTAGGGATGGGGTGCCCTTTTCATTGCAGAAATTGCTAAGCCAGCACAAGTAGTTTGTTACTAAGCTACAACAAGTGAAGGAGCACAACATGAGAAGTGGCATGTGCTCCTTCAACTTTGCTTCCACCTCTTCATGCCTTTTTAAAAAAAATTTGTGTGCCCTAGCCGGTTTGGCTCAGTGGACAGAGTGTCGGCCTGTGGACTGGGGGGTCCCGGGTTAGGTTCCGGTCAAGGGCATGTACCTTGGTTGCGGGCACATCCCCAGTTGGGGGCGTGCAGGAGGCAGCTGATCGATGTTTCTCGTCGATGTTTCTGACTCTATCCCTCTCCCTTCCTCTCTGTAAGAAATCAATAAAATATATTCTAAAAAATAAAAAAAATTGTGTGTCATGCCTTTTTAAAGAATATATATTTTTGTTAATTTCAGAGAGGAAGGGAGATAGAAACATCAATAATGAGAATCTTCCAGCACCCCCTCCCCCCCACTGGGGATTAAGCCTGCAACCCTGACATGTGCCCTGACCAGGACCTCCTGGTTCATAGGTGAACACTCAACCACTGAACCACACCCGCTGGGCTGTCTGTCATGCCTCTCTTTTATCAGGATGCCTTTAACTGCACAGACCAGAATATTAGCCTGACTATGGTATTTAATTATCTCAAATAACACAAAACCTAGATGAGGCAGCCAAGAACTTTTGCTGCTCAGTGATGTCAAATGTTGTCAAACGATGTCAGCACCTTAGCAGTTCTCTTAGCTTTTCCTTCGTGGTCACTGTGACTGCTGCACCTCCAGGCCTCAGGTCCTGACCTCGTAGCCCTGACATGGGCATACACAAGCCCTTGCACCTGGACGTGCAGTCTCCTTTGTGCCCTGCTGCCCTGACACTCAGACCTGATGTAGCACAGTCTGCCTGGAGCAGTGCAAGTAGGATCTCTTCACCCTACCTTCTGATAGGCAGGTGGGCACAAGGCTGTCCACTCTATGGAGGACATGATGGGATGCCGTGTTTGAATGTTTTTGGAGACAGGTGAAACAAAATTGGTCCTAAGTTGCTGAAACTGGCAGGTGCCTGGGATTCATTAGGTTTTCTCTGCTTTTGTATTTGAGATTTTCCATTAAAAAAAAAAAAAGGACTCAAACCCTTATACTGTTCTGTTTCTCAGCTCTACCTTCCATCTCATAGGAGCTATCAGACATCCACCAAAGTCTCTCTCTTAGCTAGGCTCATAACAAACACCACAAATGGGTAGCTTAATGGACAGCAGATCTATTTTCTCACAGTTCTGGAGGCTGCAAGTCCAAGATCAAGGCAGCAGGAAGGTTGATGTTGGTCAGAGTTCTCCCTTTGGGTTGCAGATGGCTGTGTGCTCACCTGACTTTCCACTGTAAGGTGTTGGGGAGAGAGAGCTCTGGTATCTTCCTTTTAATTCTCCAACTACAGTCCCAGTAAGGGTTTGGGATTCAGCCTAAGAATTTTTTTGGGGGGGAGGGAGGATATTCAGTCCATAGCACTCACCTACTTCCAGAATAGATTGTGCTGGGCACGTCACTACCCTACCAGAATCCATTTCCCAGCCTCCATTGCAGTTAGATGTGTCTAGGTGTCTAAGTTACCACCAATGAAATGTGAGAAGTGCATGTGCTCCTTCAAATAGCAAACTGAACGCTGTCCCTATTCCCTGCCCTGCCCTCCTTGCAACCCAGCCTTGACCATGAAGGTAATGGTGAGGCCCTTTAGGAGCAGACACCACTCGGAAGGAATCTGGGTTCCTGTGACCCCATGGGCATGGCCGTCTGCCCCTGGACAATTACATAAGAAATAAAACTTTTTTTCTAAGCCACTGGATTTGGTTGGGTTTCTTGGTTAGAGTAGCTTAGCCTTCCCCTAAAACTCTGGTTCTCAACTGGGCACTTTTTTTTTTCTTATTAATCCTCACCTGAGGATATATTTTCCATTGATTTTTAGAGAGCGTGTAAGGTGGGTAGAGGATGCTGCTAAACAGCCTACAAGACACAAGACAGCCCCACAGCAGAGTATCAGGCCCCAAATGTCATAGTGTTAAGATTGAGCAACCCTGATCCAGAGTATAGAGCAATGAGAAGAAAGTAAGGGAGTCAGCTCTCATTTGGCAGCTTCTAACAAACTGCTACCTGGGAAAAGTTATTTTTAGTATATGATATATGAAGGGCACAATATGTGAGTTATTCTCTATAATAATAATTATTATTATTTTTAGATGAGAACAACAAATAGCCAACAAATATGTAAAAATATGTTTAGCTTCACTTAAAATCAAAGAAATACAAATTAAAACACCAAGGTGGATTTTTAAAAAAAAATATATTTTATTGACTTTTACAGAGAGGAAGGGAGAGGGATAGAGAGTTAGAAACATCGATCAGCTGCTTCCTGCACACCCCAAACTGGGGATGTGCCCACAAGGTACATGCCCTTGGCCAGAATCGAACCTGGGACCTTTCAGTCCGCAGGCCGATGCTCTATCCACTGAGCCAAACCGGTTAGGGCACTGAGGTGGATTTTTGATTATCTCTTTTTCTATCATGTTAGCAAAGATAAAGCCTGATGAAATCTAAGGTTAACAAAAGTGTGGAAACATCCTTAGTGGAGTGTCAGTTCATTTAAAAGTATCAGCACTTAGAAAATACAATACTCTGGCCTGGCCGGCTTGGCTCAGTTGATAGAGCATCGGCCTGCGGATTGAAGGGTCCTAGGTTCGATTCCCGCCAAGGGCACATGCCTGGGTTGAGGGCTTGTTCCCCAGTGGGGGGCGTGCAGGAGGCAGCCAATCAATGATTCTCTCTCACCATTGATGTTTCTCTCTGTCCTTCTCCCTTCCTCTCTGAAATCAATAAAGAAATATATTAAAAAAAAAAAAAGAAAATATAATACTCTGAGCCCTGGCCACTGTTGCTCAGTTGGTTGAACATCATTCCATGCACTGGGTTTCGGGCTTGATCCCCAGTAGGGTGTGAGCAGGAGGCAGCTGATTGATGTTTCTCTCACATTAATGTTTCTCTCTCTCTAAAAATCAATACAAATATAAGAAAACCTGTGCATGGCCTGGAAGTGTGGCCCAGGGGTTGAGGGTTGACCTATGAACCAGTAGGTCAAGGTTGGATTCCTGGTCAAGGTACATGCCTGGGGTGTGGGCTCAATCCCCAGTAGGGAGCGTACAGGAGGCAGCCCATTAATGATTCTCTCTTATCATTGATGTTTCTAACTCTCCCTCTCCCTTCCTCTCTGAAATCAATAAAAATCTATTTAAAAAACAAACAGAAACCCTGCACATGAGTAAAGCAGCATTATTCTTAATTGACAAAACTTGGAAGCAACCCAGATGTTCTTCAATAGGTGAATGGATGAACTGTGGTACATACAGAAAATGAAATATTTGGCTATTAAGAAGAATCTATAAAGCCAGGAAAGGATGATGGAGGAAACTTAAATGCATATTACTAAGTGAAAGAAGCTAATCTGAAAGGTTACATACTGTATAATTCCAACTATATGATACTCTGGAAAAGGCAAAACTATAGAGATAGTAGACAGATCAGAGTTTGCCAGGGGGTGTGGGGGGGTGGGAGGGATGAACAGGCAGAGCACAGGGAATTTTTAGGGCAGAGAAACTTCTGTATGATACTGTAATGGTGGGTACTTAACAAAATTGTACAACAAAGTGAACCTTAATGTAAACTATGGACTTTAGTTAATAGTAATGTATCAATATTGTTTAATCAATCCTAATAATGAACCATGCCAATACAAAATGTTTATATTGGGGAAAACCCTGTTCATGTTTCTGTGGAAGGGTTGGCTATACAGGAACTCTATTCTAAAATTTTCTGTGAGCACAAAACTACTCTAAAAAAAATAAAGCCTATTAATTAAAAAAAAAACTTAGCCACTTAAAACAATAAAAAAAATATGGGTAGTATTTAGTTATGTATGCATGTGCGTGGGCGTCTTCTCATCAAGCATTAAATGGGGCCAAACTGCTACCATGTGGATTCAAAGGTGAACAAGATAATCACAGTCCTGTACCTTCCAGAGGTGGGAAAATTCCTTTATAAGTTCCTGGATAGTTTGAATTTTTACAATGAAAGTAAAGTTGGCAAAAACGTTTCAATTTTTTAAAATTTCGGGTTTAGGTGTCGATGTAAGAAACATGAATATTTTTGAGTTTATTTGAGCCGAAATGTCCACAATTGCTGGGAATCAAAATCTCAACGGATTGAGAAAAATGCTCCAGAGAATGACAGTTTTGCGCCTTATGTTATATATTACAATGAAAAGAGAAGACAAAAGTGGGTCACAGGAAATCCATTGGTAATAGATCAGGGAGGCAAGAGAAAGCAAAGCAGGAGAAACCTCTGGGATTGGATAAAAAGTAAAATGACTGACATAAACATTTTTTAAATAGGTGGGTGCAGGATAGTTAGTCAACAATGAACTCAGTAAGGAGAGGATTTGTGGTCTTGCTCTGTTGCAGTACCTATGTCTTGAGGGGTCCGGAAAAGGGAAATCACTGTGACATTCCAAGTAGGTTATCCTAGATGCAAAAAGACCACAGGCTTAAGGTGAAAACTTACCTTTGTCAGGGAAGAGTCTAGCCTAGGACATGACTACCCACCATAAACTGATTTTAGTTAAAAGTTTTAATCTCAGACCATCCTTTCTGGTTATGTTAGGTCTCCGAGTTTGTAAGACCAGCATGCAGGTCTTCCCTGAGCTTTTCGGGTTTAGTATGTGGCCCCTTTTCGTCCACATAGAGAAGGGGGTACTTTTTAAAAAATTTTTTTTGAAAGGGATAGATTATGAGAGAGAAACATCGATGGGCTGTCTCCTATATGGCCCCCCTGGGGATGAGCCCTAAACCCAGGCAAGTGTCCTGAGGTGCAATCAACTGGTGAGCTCTTAGCGCATGGGAGGATGTTCAACCAACTGAGCCACACTGCTGCGAGGGGGCTGGGGGTACATCCTGATGCATGCATTTTCCATAAGAAAACTCACTGATCAGGGCTACCTAAGACCCAAGGGAGGAGGATGGGGGTGTGCGGCTCCGGGTCCTGGCTCCTTCCATCCAGGGACCAGTGGTCCCTTCCGCACGCGGGGGTCGCGCAGAACCCCTCCCCTCCATCCCCGTGAGGAGCCTCGGGGCGGCTTGCGCTGGGCCCAGCGTTTCCCTGACCCCCAGCGACACGTGCTGACCCCGTGACCCCCAGTTTTCCTGCGCGCATCCGGTGCCCTCCGGGGGACCCTCTCGTCCGCTGCACCAGGTTCTTCACTCCTCCCAGGCTTCCGCCAGACCTGACCCCGCCAAAAGGGCGACCAGGGGATTAGGATCCTCCCCTCCCTCAACGCTCCTATAGGGAACGCCCTCGGCCCCCGACCTCGCTTCCCCCGAGGTGGTGCACGCACCCCGCCGGCCGGAAGCCAGGGGGCGGATCCCGCCGGCGGCCGCCCCGCCTGCTGACCAATCCTCACGCGCAGCTCATTAATAGTGAACGCGCCGGCCCCGCCCTCTACTTCTCGCGGCTCCGCCCGCCTGCGCAGAGCCAGAGCGCGGCCGCGGACGAAGATGGCGACTGCCATGTACTTGGAGCACTACCTGGACAGTAAGCGCCCTCCCCCACCCGTGTCCCCCGGGCCGTCGCCCGTGCAGGGCCCTCTCCGCCATTTTCCCCCGCACGCTAACACCTGCGTGCGGATCCCAGGCTCGTGGGGTCTGGGGGACGGCCCAGCGGCGGCGGAGGCGGACGCGGAACGGGCGGGTACAAGGGTGGGAAGCGCGCGGGGGGTGCGGCGCCGGGTCCACCGACACTGCCGCGCCAATTCTAGGTGCGTCACGGCGGGGCGGGGCCAGTGTGCGGTTCCACCCCTCGGCTGGGCCCGCTCTCCTGATAGGCCACGCCCTCATCGACAGGCCACGCCCCATATAAGCCACGCCCAGCCAAGTCCCAGCCTCCCCGAGTAGGCCCCGCCTTCCACGGTGTTGTCTTGGTCTCAGGCCTTGCGCTTACTTGATTAGGGCCTGCCGCCCACCACTCAGGCCCAAGATGGTGGTGAGCCCCAACCCCCTTGAATGCTGAGCCGTGCCTGGGGGGCTCCGGGCTTGGGGTCCACGGAGTCGCTTCCGGGCACCGAGCCTCAGCTTGTGCATCTGGAAGATGGGGAGGCGATGCTGGCCTGGAGGGTCTCCCGGGATGCCTGCCTTTTCCCAGGGGTACTTCCGGGACTGATTATGTGTTCCGGGCTGACGTCCATGAGGCTCCTCCAGCAGGCATCCTGTCTACCTGTAGCTCAGGGTGGACCCTCCTGACCACTCCTGACCAGATGGTTATTCCCGCATTTCACGGAGGCCGAGTAGCTGGTCAAGGTCACATACATACTGGGAGTGTCTGGCTCTGGCAGGGGCATGGGACACCGTGCTGCACTGGGGATATTCATGGTCACTCGGGTCTGGGCGCCCCACCTGGGACTGCTGAGTAGGAGTGAGCCCCTGCTCTGAAGGAGACAGTGGGGATCAGCTCTCCCCAAGGAGGGGTTACCCAATCCTGGTCATTTGTTCTGCTCTCCTGGCCCATCCTGAGCACAGGTCAGGTGGGAGAGCACTGGAGGGGAGCCTTCCTTCATTGTCACTAGAGAGGTCTGCACTCAGGTGCCTGCTTGGGAGCACTGGGGCTTGCCCTTTCTGTCCCACCACCTGCCCAGTGGCCCCTATGGGAGGGTCTGAGGAGCCTGAACATGAAGGCTGGGAAAGGAGGCACCTGCTTGCTTCTTTCTTTGTTTTGTTAATCCTCACCCAAGGATACTTTTTTTCATTGATTTTTAGAGAGAGTGGAAGGGAGAGGGAGAGAGACAGAGACAGAGAAACATCGATGTGAGAGACACATTGATTGGTTGCCTCCTGCAGGTGCCCCAACCAGGGCTAGGGATTGAGCCTGCAACCAAGGTATGTGCCCTTGACTGGAATTGAACCTGGGACCCTTCAGTCCGCAGGCAGACACTCTACCCACTGATCCAAACTGGCTAGGGCACCTGCTTCTTTTTTTAAATTTTTAAAATATATATTTTATTGATTTTTTTACAGAGAGGAAGGGGGAGGGATAGAGAGTTAGAAACATCAGTGAGAGAGAAACATGGATCAGCTGACTCCTGCACACTCCCTACTGGGGATATGCCCACAACCAAGGTACATGCCCTTGACCAGAATCGAACCTGGGACCTTTCTGTCCGCAGGCCAATTCTCTATCCACTGAGCCAAACTGGTTAGGGCGACCTACTTGCTTCTTGAGCATGTCCTTTGTTCCAGGAAAGCAGACATGATCCCCATTTTCCTGGAACTTACTATCAAATGGGCAGACAGATTATTTTTAAAGTTTATAGAAAATTAAAGGCCATGAAGGAGCCCATAAGTCTCGAGAGCAGGGAGTGGCCTGTCCTGCAGAATCCTGGTTAGTAGGACAGAGCAGGGAGGTCTGAGAAGGCTGTGTGGGGAGTTTTCATGGCTCTCTGGGGGAGCTGAGGAGCACTGGGCTTTAAGCAGCAGCTTCTAAAGATTAGATTGAGCTCTTGAAATGATCACTGGCACATGGGGAGAGTGGAGGGTGGCCAAGACTGGACAGAGGAGTCCAGTCAGGGCCTCTTGTGGCTGTGCAGGTGTATGGGCATGTTTGCCCGACCTATAAGGATGGCAGCACTAACAGGTTAGCAGCGTTGTGTGGAATCCTCCACCTGTGAGGTTCAGCATGGCCTGTTTAACCTTAAGTGAATAAACGAGTGAAATTAGTTCAGTCCCTCATGGGGTACTCGCCCATTTCACATTCTCCGTAGCCCAGTGTGGCCAGTGCCCACATTTTTGGACAGCTTAGAGAATGCTTTCATCCTTGGATAAAGTTCTACCAGCAGTACTGGTTTGCACTACCCAGTGCAGATTTCAGAGTAAGGTGGGGAAAGATCAAAGAGGACCCCAGGGTTGGACTGGGTGGCTGTGGTGGGGTAATCTAGACTGGAGGGTCTGGGGTGGGAGTCAAGAGGCCATCTTTTCTGCCTCTGCTCGCAACTTGTTTCTAAGTTCACCTGCATTTGGCAACTTCGGAAGTGTCAGCCTCATATCAGTGTTTGGTACTCACGCGCCTCTAAAAGAGGATATCTTAATCCTTGTCCTCTTCAAACCCTAGCAGAAAGAGAAGACAAAGTGGGCTTATTATCTGTCAACTTCAGGGTTAAAGCCCAGCAGGTAGATTTGTGTGCCTCTCCTGAGAAGTCCATGTCCTTGTGTTTCAGGTATCGAGAACCTTCCTTGTGAACTTCAGAGGAACTTCCAGCTGATGCGTGAGCTGGACCAGAGGACAGAAGGTGGGCTCAGGCCTTCAGTACATCTGGGGAGAGGAGGCACCAGGATCCTGGGGTGGCACTGGGTGACCAGCCTATGCAGTGGGGCTATGTGGCCTAGCCCTAGCCAGTGGTCGGCAAACTGCGGCCCCTTGAGTGTGGCTCTTCCACAAAATACCACGTGCGGGCGCGCACGTACAGTGCGATTGAAACTTTGTGGCCACACTCAAGGGGCCAAAGAGCCGCATGTGGCTCGCGAGCCGCAGTTTGCCAACCACTGCCCTAGGCTTTGTCTTCGGATGGTGTCTAGAGAGAGTTGCTGATCCTTTAAACCAAACTTAGTTCCTTGGATTCTTACACCTCTTCAAATCAGATCTGTAAGGATCATCCTTTCCATACCGTCAAAATATCTGTTACCTTTTCTTTCTTTTTTTAAAAAAATACATTTTATTGTGGTTTTTCACTAAGATACAGCATCCTGACTAGCAAATACAGAGACTTCTTTTATTATGAAATACAGATTTGCATTCAGAAATAACCATAGACATTTACAATGTGTCACCCGGTGAAACTGTCCCCAGGTAAGGTGGAGCTCTTGGCTACTGGGGACCTGTGCGACCCCTCTCTGGGGCCACCACCCTGAGTCCCACCTGTAACAGGTGTTTTCCCACCTCTAAACCGGAGTTAAGAGTTATGTCTGTCCCACCTGGATGTTTATGAGCCACACAGCGTGTCCTTTGTCCCTTTTCTCGCTCATGGTCACCTTCTGTGGATTAATCGGTGGTGGTCTGTGTAGCAGCAGCTGGTTCTTTTTGTTGCTGGAGCACAGCTATTTGTTTGAGTGAGGACTCGACATTTGGGTGGTTTCTTGTTTCCTGAAGTTAGGGATGTTTTCCCATGTGTATTCTGGCATCTAAATTTTTAGGGTGGGTACCTAAGAGTAGTATGCCAGGTCTTAGGTAAGGTGAGCACACACTTCATTGTTCAGATAGGGACTTTTATGAGTCAGAACAGGCATGATGCATGCTCCTGGAACAGCAGTCGTATGCAGAACTGTCCTGGGCACCTTGCCCTGGCCGGAGCCTCTGCTCAGCTCCGAGATGCCACACTGTCTGTAGGCACACTGCCTTAGACACGTTGCCTGTGGAGTGCTGTGCCCCCGTGTCCCCACCTACAGTGCTTCGGGGTGCTTGTCAGTCACTTGCCGACACTTGGTGTTGTCAGGCTTCATTTGTTGCCCGTCTGGTGAGCCTGTTCTGGCATCTCAAGTAGGGACTAGCTTTCAGCCATTTCTCTATCAGATAAGAAAGCGGAGATTGACATCCTGGCTGCAGAGTACATCTCCACAGTGAAGACTCTGTCCCCAGAGCAGCGGGTAGAACATCTGCAGAAGATCCAGAGCGCCTACAGCAAGTGCAAGGAGTATAGCGACGACAAGGTGCAGCTGGCCATGCAAACCTACGAGATGGTGAGAGGCCGGGGGGTGGAATGGGGAATGGGGGTTAGGGGGGTGGGGATGAGCTGCTCAGGACCCCAAGGCCAGGGACAGCTGGGGGCTGGGGACAGTTCAGGCTCTGGCAGAGTGATGCTTCCAGAGGAGTACAAATAGGGGGTGTCATTCATCCCAGACCATGACTGTGTCTTGTTTTCTCTGCTCTTTTGCTTATTTATTTAGCTGGGGAAATAGTCCATTGTTATATATAGATTTTTTAATCAATGTTTTGGTCATCTTTAGGAAAAGTCCTAGAATTTGTGTCCTGTTTCCTCTCAAGTAAGCTTCACTAAGAGCTCACGTGGTACCTGGAGTCCTTGTTCCTGAGGCACATGTCGTGTGGCAGATCTCTGTCATCCCTGCAGGCCGTCACCTGACGAATGCCCTTCCCCACCTCCCCAGTCAAGCAACAGTGATTTCTTAAAAACCTGAAGTAACTTGTGTTTGAGAAAGAATACTCCAGAAGGAGACCTTAATGCTTGTATTTGGGATTTTGATGCCCCAAGTGCTGCATCTTTGGAGTACGCGGCCTGCTTTCTGAAATGTTAGCTTTGATCAGTTGTCATTGAGTCAGATTTTTACTATGATGCAAAATGAACTTAAGATTGTAATTCATTTCCACACGAGGAAGGTACTGTCACTCTTCCCTGGTGGTTGTGACTTCAGGGTGGAACAGGCTCGGCTCATCTCGCTGCCCTGATTGCAGTGCCTTCTCTCCCTTCCTTCCAGCTCATCCATAGCCAAAGCACTGGAGGAATTTTGTTTTCCTTTGTTGTTGTTACTCTGTTTAAGGACCTAATGTTCTTCAGGTTTTTAAGTTAGGACTCGATCTCAGACATCCTCACCCCTAGTCCATTGTGTTTCACAGCTCTCTGTCTCATATTGATGACTCATGGTATTTCCTGAGCAGGATTTATTTGGTTGAGGTGTCAAAAAGGACCCTCTTCTACACTTTGACATGGGGGCCTCACCTTAGCAGACTTTGTTAATGGAAGGCTCCGGTAGAGGCTTAGATAGTGCGGAGTGGTTGGCTGGTGCTGGGCTGTGACTCTGGGCTATTTGCTTTCATGTTAAATGTGACTTGATCTTCTGTGCAGGTGGATAAACACATTCGGAGGCTCGATGCAGACCTGGCACGCTTTGAAGCAGACCTGAAAGACAAGCTGGAGGGTAGCGACTTTGAGAGCTCTGGAGGACGAGGGTTAAAAAGCAAGTCTATCCATTTTTCTTTATTCTGTTACTTTTAACTATGGAGTTGTGAAGAATTGTCTGATAAATATGTTAGGAACCTGTCAGTAAATAGCATATTTGGGTAAACCTTGTCCTGCTTTAATGAATTCTGTGACAGTAATTGAGTCTTCATTGTCTTTCAGAAGGTCGAAGCCAGAAAGAAAAGAGAAGTTCCCGGGGGCGAGGCAGAAGGACCTCAGAAGAAGACACTCCGAAGAAAAAGAAGCATAAAGGAGGGTGAGAGGCCTTTTTCTTTTCTATTTTTCCCCAAAGAACACCAGTAGTATTTGCTAGATCTAAATACCAGTGACAGCCACCCTTGAGGAAGTGCTTACCATGCCCAGCATGGCTATAGTTCTGTGGACTTTTTGTGTGTCAGTCTGTCAGTCCCTTAAGCAGCCAAGGTGAGCAGCGTGGTAGGCAGTGATTCCCAGGGAGTGCACCTGCCCCTGCCTGGTGGCCCATGTGCAAGAGCATCAGGCTGGTTCCACAGCCCCTTCTCTGAGTGTATGCCTGCCTCTCGAGTTACGTAACAGTGTGTATTCACAGTTCGGGCTAAGCCACTGTTTAGTAGCTGCCTATGTATCAGTTGATCATTTCATATATAAATATATTTTGTATATATTCATTATTGTGATTGCATTTATTAAACACATGTGTCATTTAACTTGACCTTGAAGATGTTTCATTGAAAGCCTCCCACCTGACGCCCTCCCTGTACTGTAGTGTTGCTTCTCAGAAGTATTTGGACTAAAGAGAATCTGGTAACATGCCAGCTGGCTTCTGTGGAGATGATTCTGACAGTTATGGGGAGAGGTCTGAAGAGTTAGATCTTGAAAGATAAAGGAAAATTTTTGGTTATTAAACCTGGTGTTTAAACTTTCATCTTTTAAAAAACACCCAGATGTCAGCCTTTGTATTGTAAAGCACTACAGGGATGCAGAACACGACACAGAGCAAATGTAGTGTAATGAGTTGCTGTGAGAGGCGTGTCCTTGGACATGCCTGTCGGGACCATAACCTCCTCACTCTGCCCCAAACCAACATGACCCACATATATATAGTATGTGCCCTACTTGTTCTTTGTCGTTTTTTCCCCCACGAGTACACTCCTGGACATTAAACTTTGAGATGGACTTTATTAAGGAGCTAGAGGCCCGATACACGAGATTAGGCCTTCGCAGCCGCGGTGGTTGCCTTGATCCCGCGGCTACAGCCCTGGCTTCGTCCTGAAGGTCGTGCTGTTCGGCCGTTCAGTTGGTTTGCACATTACGCTTTTATTATTATAGATAATTTACATACAGTAAGATGTTCTCATTTTAAGTATATAGTTTGATTTTTTTTTAAATTATGAGACTTATTGGGGCTTTCTGTATCTTTTTGAGTCAGTTTTGGTAATGTGTCTACAAAGATTTGTTGTTTCTTGTAAGTTGTCAGACTTACTGACATCAGGTTGTTTATAATATTATGTGATTCTTCCGATGTTGTAGGATTTGTGTAGATGACTGCTCTTTCAGACCTGACAGTGGTAATTTATGTCTTCTCTCATTTTGTCTTGATTGAGAACTAGCTTTTGGTTTCATTGATCCCTACCCCCCCTCCTGTTTTCTTTTTTTTAAAATATATTTTATTGATTTTTTACAGAGAGGAAGGGAGAGAGATAGAGAGTTAGAAACATCGATGAGAGAGACATCGATCAGCTGCCTCCTGCACATCTCCTACCTGGGATGTGCCTGCAACCCAGGTACATGCAACCCAGGTACATGCCCTTGACCGGAATCGAACCTGGGACCTTTCAGTTCGCAGGCCGACGCTCTATCCACTGAGCCAAACCGGTTTCGGCACTGTTTTCTTTTGTACTTAGAGAGAGTAGAAGGGAGGGAGGGAGAGAAGGAGAGAGAGAGAGAAACATTGATGTGAGAGTGACACATCGATTGGTTGCCTCCTGCATGCTCCCTGACTTTGGGGCTGGGGATTAAACCAGGAATCTAACCCGAGACCCATCAGTGTGCGGGCTGATACTCAAACCGCTGAGCAACACTGGCCATGGCACCCCTCTGTTTTCTATTGCATTTATTTCTGCTCTTATTATTTCCTTCCTACTAAGCTACTTAAATTTACTTTGCTTTTTTAAAAAAATATATATTTTTATTGATTTCAGAGAGGAAGGGAGAGGAAGAGAGAGAGAGAGAAACATCAGTGATGAGAGGGAACCATTGATTGACTGCCTCCTGCACGTTGGACTGAGCCTGCAACCCAGGCATGTGCCCCTGACCAGGCCAACAATTGTTGGCCTTTGGTCCACAGGCCAACAATCGATCCACTGAGCCAAATCGGCCATGGCTTTCCTTTTCTTTTTCTAGCTTTTTAAGATAGAAGTAGCTTAGATCTTTGATTTTTATATATTCCTTTTCTAACAAGTATTTAAAGCTGTAAGTTTTCTTCTAATTTCGGTTTTAGCTACATCTCACAAATTTTGATATATGTATTTTTTAATTCCATTAAAAATATTTAAAATTTTCCTTGGTAGTTTTTCTTTGACCCATAGCTTATGTATGAGTAGATTTCTAAGTTTCCAAGTAATTTGGGGTTTTCCATATAACTTTCTGATTTCAATTTCTATTTTTGTTATGATCAGAGAACATTCTATAATTGAAGTCTTCTACAGTTGATTAAGACTTGTGTTATGGGTTATGGTCTGTCTTGCTGAACGTTCCATATCCACTTGAAAAGAATATGTATTTTACTGTCGTTGGGTGGAGTGTTCTATAAATGTGAATTCAATGGCTAGGTTAATAGTGTTGTTCAGTTTTTTGTATTCTTACTGGTGTTCTGTTTAGTTTATGAACTATTGAGAGAGGATTGTTTAAATCTCCAACTCTAATTATGGATTTATCTGTTTCTCCTTTCTGGTCTGTCAGTTTTTGCTTCATGTATTTTGAAGCTCTGTTATTTGGTTCTACATGAGCATTTAGTTTTTTTTAAAAAAGTAATTGACTTCTTTATCATTATGAAATTTATTTCTTTATTCCTTGTAATGTTCTTTTTTTGGAAGTCTGCTCTGTCTAATATTACTACAGCCCCTCCCACTGTCTGATGGTGAGTTTTTGATGGTGTATGTTTCCTTTTTCATCCTTTTACTTCCAACATGTGTATGTTTTTGTATTTAGAGTGGGTTTCTTGAAGGCAGCAAGTAGTTGCATCTTGCTTTTTCATCTAATCTGATAATCTCCGCCTTTTCGTGCAATATTTAGATTGTTCAGATGTTTGTTTGTTTTTAACAGATGTTTAATATAAGAACCTACACACATATTCTTCCTTCCTGCTCCTGTTCTTGGTGTTATTGTCAGAATTTTTACTTCTACATGTGACAAGCCTCATAATATATCAGTTATTATTTCAGGTCAAACCATTGATTATCTTAAATAGATTTTAATCCATTGTACGCCATAAGTGTCCTTTTTAGGGGACTCCAATTACATGTATATTATTTAGCTTGACATTTTCCCACAGATTACGGAGGCTCTGCTTATTTTCTTACCTGTGTTTTTCTTTCTGTGCTCAGTTTAGACAATTTCTATTTTTTTGTCTTCAAGTTCTTTTCCCTTGGTATCTAATTGAATTTTAGTCTCCTTTAGTGAATCATTCATTTAATATACTTTCTTCTCAGGAAGTTCCATTTGTTTCTTTTTTATTTACATTTAATTATTTAAAAAAATATCTTTATTGATTTCAGAGAGGAGGGGAGAGGGAGAGAGAGATAGAAACATCAATGATGAGAGGGAACCATTGATTGGCTATCTCCTGCACACCCCACACTGGGTATCAAGCCTGCAACCTGGGCATGTGCCCTGATGGAATTAAACCGTGACCTCTGGGTTCATAGGTTGATGCTCAACCACTGAGCCATGCTGGCTGGGCTATTAGTTATTTTTTAAATGTTTTTATTGCTTTTTAGAGAGAGGAAAGAAGAGGGAGAGAGAAATAGAAACATCGATGAAAGAGAAACAGCGACTGGATGCCCCCTAGTGGGGATTGAGCCCACATCTCGGGCATGTGCCCTGACTGGGACCTCTTGGTTCATGGGTCAGTGCTCAACCACTGAGCCATACTGGCTAGGCTGTTTCCTTGCCTGGCCGTGCTGTCTTCTGGCAAGGCAGGAGCTGTGTGTGGACCGGGGACAGTTCCTCCTGTAGCCCCCAATTCCAAAGCTTGTATGAGTAGCCACCCCTGCTGGAGGGCTACTTGCAGTGTTTGGGAGGGGCCCCTGTCACTACCTGAGGAGGGATGTCCCCTATATCCACGGGAATTAGCTTGGAGGACAGTTCTGGTGTCGTCAGGCCAGAGCGAGCACCTCAGGCAGTGGGGTTGCCTGGTCTGCTCGAGGGACAGGTTTGGCAACTTCATATGTGCTTCTCTCCAGGGGTAGTATGAGCACCCACCACCCTGGAGCCCCCTCTGGTGAGACTGGAGAGGAGTGGCTCAGGACCAATCCCCAGGTCTGATTGCTGGCGAGGTGGTGACTTTGCCAGGTGGTGCCCTAAGTCCCTCCAGCTTCTCTTGCTGCCACCCACATCTGGCCGGTGCCCTTGAACACAGAGTGACAGGCGAGGGTCAGGGGGCAGCTGAAACATAGTCTGCAGAAGTGTGGAGAGTGCCACAGAGAGAGAGTGTGCCGAGTACGTGTGGTTATTCAGGGTGAGCACCTGGGAGACAGGACAGCCAGCAGGTGGGGGAGACAGTGTCATGGGCCGTGGTGACAAACCTAGGTTTCAGTGTAGCAAGGAGCCAGTGTCGTAGCCTGAGGACTGCTGTGACTGTTGCCTGAAGCAGTGTTAAAGCACATGGATGGGGCAGGTTCTGGTGACATTTATGATTTTCAGATCTAAAGAAAAAAACCTGTCTATTCCCAGAGACAGAGCAGAGGGAGGAGACTCAGATGTGCCTGGGGCCTGCATGGGTGGCACTCTTGCGGGGGGGTGGGCAGCACATATGGGGCATCATGTGGCACGCTGGGGGCATTATGGAGCTTGGTATGTGACCACAAAGGCACAAAGCCTTCCTAGACCGGAACAGGTAAGGGGGGTTCCCTTTGGGAAGCAGACTTCTCATGTCACCACGTCATGATGTCAGTTGTCCTGGCCTGCCACTTGCTCAGCTTCCCCTCTGCCCTGTTGCCCTGTGAATTAGTGTACATAGCACGTGTGTGTTCAGTGAACATGCGTGTTCTCTCTCTGGGGGCAGGTCTCTGTACTGATGGGAATATACTGTCTGTGTAACCTGCAGCTTGCAGCTTTATTTAAAAAATACTGAAACACATTAAGAGTAAATACCCTAGTCGGCAAACTGCGGCTCACGAGCCACATGCGGCTCTTTGGCCCCTTGAGTGTGGCTCTTCCACAAAATACCACATGTGGGTGCGCACGTACAGTGCGATTGAAACTTCGTGGCTCATGCGCAGAAGTCGGTATTTTGTGGAAGAGCCACACTCAAGGGGCCAAAGAGCCGCATGTGGCTTGCGAGTCGCGGTTTGCCGAGCCGTGGTTTGCCGACCACTGCCCTAGTCCCTTCCCTGTAACAGGTGGACATCTGTCCCACCACCCGCTGCAGAGCTGTGGGATTGGAGGGAGGTGTGGGCACAGTGGGATCCTGGCTGGGCCATGGGTTAGAGACCCTGAGGGGGGATGGCAACAGGCCTGCCTCCCAGGTGGGTGGGGAGGGTGGCTGTGGTCAGAAGCATCCCTGCTGATGGGTGGGCAGAGGGGGACTCCTGAGATGTAGATCTTGGAGGGTGAAGGGGAGCTGGTGGGCTTCATGGGTTTTGGGGTGAAGAAGATACGTGGGGATGTGAGTGAGAACTCACAAGCCATTGTCATGGGAGGGATGGAGAGAGAGCTGGTGGGGGCAGGCCTGCTCAGACTGCTGGACCGGTCTGGGTGGGATCCAGGCAGGATGCTAGGTGCCTGCCCTGGGTGGGTCGACCCGGGGTGGGGGTGAGTCCTGGGAGCAGGTCCTATCCAGGTGGAGGGACTGAGGCAGGATGGCTTCATGTGCCCAAGTGGGCTGGACCCCGAAGCCGGAAGGTGAATGCACCTTTGCCCCCACTACCAGTCAGGTATCACAGGGGCAATGTGGTCCCATCTAACTGCTGCTCAACACTGTTGTGTCCATGCAGGTCGGAGTTCACTGACACTATCCTGTCTGTGCATCCCTCTGATGTGCTGGACATGCCCGTGGACCCCAACGAGCCCACCTACTGCCTCTGCCACCAGGTGTCCTATGGGGAGATGATTGGCTGTGACAATCCAGATGTGAGTGTTGGGCATGCTGCAGTGGGGTTCTGCCGCAAGATGTGGGGCCTTGAGATGGGAAGCCGGACGCTGCGGCATCCCCCTGTGGGACCATGGGCAGGGTCTTGTACCAGGTGGGCTGGGGTGGGGAGGGGGGAGGAGACGGTGGGGTGGGATGGGGAGGTGGCAGGCTCTCTGTGTCTGGCACACAGCAAGTTACATGCTCACTGCAGCTCTCCCCCTCTACCCTGCTGCCTTGCAGTGTCCGATCGAGTGGTTTCACTTTGCCTGTGTAGACCTGACCACGAAGCCCAAAGGAAAATGGTCAGTATGGGGCACTGCTCTGTCTCCTTCCCGAGAATGAGGTGGGGGTGGCAGGGCCTAGTAACCTTCCCTGCTCTGGCCCCCGGTGCTCTGGGTGTGGGTTTGGGGATCTGGCTGTGTCACACACTGGTCCTGTGTCCCTGGCCAAGTTGATAAGGGTCATTTGCTGCCCACCTCACCTGGGGCATCTTCTATTATATTTGCAAAACACCTACATTTCTGTTGCTCTATGTAATGGCCATTCTGACTCTTTCGAGTGAGGTAGAGATAGTCCTAAATAAAATGAGAAATGAGGGGTTCTTTTCCGCTGGGGAAGCTTTCAGAGAAGATGAGGAACACAGTATTAAACGGATGGGACCAGGCAGTGGGCGCTCTGCCTGGTCAGGGACTTACATGCTCTGGACTGAGCCCCTCCTGTTCTTCATCCTGGTATTCAGTTGTCTCTATGATGCCATTTAAGTAAAAACCTGGTTTTGTTTAGTTGTGCTAAAGACAGGCATGTTCTAGGCTGCAGTGCTGGAGATGTCACCCTCCCTGGTTGTGTATGTGACACATTTGCTGTATGCAGACGGGGACTAGATGCCCTGAGGACAGTCTGCCTTATCCTGGGTCCTCGGTGGATGACAGCAGGGCCGGGTGCGGTGCTCAGTGTCTCAGCCTTTGCGGTCTTGTCCCGGCAGGGGCTCCCTGGGCACCGGGATGCACCAGCAAGTCTGAGATGTGATGCAGCAGCCCTGACAGTGCCCTTTAGCAGGGGTGATGGGAATGTGATGGGACTGTGGTCAGGGCCCCGGCTGATCAGGGTGACCCTTTGGGCTTGAGGAGGCCAACCCATGGGGCAGGCTTGGCCTGTGATGACAGGGAGCTCCTGAGCTGATGGAAGGGACATGAGGCAGGAGGGGTTTGATTAGAGTTTGATTCTGGACATGTTGTATTTGAGTTGTTTGTGGAGCTCCTGGTGGAAGTTTCCTACCAGGCCTTGAAAAACAGTTTTGCCTCTGGGAGAACAGGCAGAGCCTGAGGCATGTTGGGGACCCAACCCGGCTGTCCTCCTCCTGATTTCTTTGGGGCCTTTTTATTTTTATATATTTTTATTGATTTCAGAGAGGAAGGGAGAGGGAGAAAGAGAGATAGAAACATCAATGATGAGAGAGAATCATTGATTGGCTGCCTCCTGCATGCCCCCCTACTGGGGATTGAGCCCATAACCTGGGCTTGTGCCCTGACCAGGAATCGAACCAGGACCTCCTGGTTCATAAGTCAATGCTCAACCACTGAGCCACGCTGGCTGTACATCTTCGTGGTCTTTTTAGAGATCACCGAGTGTGCAGGCTTCTTGGTCGGTGAGATGTGAGCTGATAGCTGTGGTTGTGCTGTGTGTGCCGTGTGTGAGCATGATGCTGGGCGCTGCTTCTTCAGGGCTCAGCCAGGGCATGGGCAGTTGGCAGGCAGGGGCCAGGGGCAGGGGTAGGGTCAGGGGCCGGGCAGGGGCCAGGGGCAGGGGTAGGGTTGGGCAGGACCGAGGCTTCCTCGGGGCCCATTCACTAGTGTAGACCTGGCCTGGTTGAGCTCAGCTACACGGTAATCAGCTGCCTTCTGATAGGGGGCTCAGGAGGGCTGAGGTGGACAGCAGTTTGGACTGTCCCTTGTGTCCCTGAATGCTGCCATGGTCTAGGAGTGACTGAGAAAGTGCTCTGTGTTTGAGACTCTGGAACTTGCTTGCGCAGGGTCACCTGACCACAGTCTGCAGAATGGGCTGGGAGCCTGTGGCCTGCCTGGTCGGCGTGCACGTCATCCTGCACCCACACTAGGCCACCAGCTCGACAGCAGGTGTTGTCTCTGTTTTGGTGAAGAGGAATGCTCATGTCTGAAAGCAGTTTTGCTGATTGATTTGTATCTATTTGAAAACAGCCAGGCTAGATAGAGCGACTTGCTTAGGAGATTTTTCCTGGTGGGAGAGCTGTGCACTGTGTTTGTGGGTCTCTCTTCTGGTTCTGGTGCTGTTTCACCGAGAGGCAGGGTCTGGGCCTCCCGAGTGCTGGCAGAAATCTGCAAAGGGCTAACACTGTCTCTCTCATCACAGGTTCTGTCCTCGGTGTGTCCAGGAGAGGAGGAAGAAGAAGTAAGGAAGAGCTGACACCGGGGCCAGAAGAGCAAGTTGATACACTCCTTTATTCACGTTGCAATATTTTACCTTCATCTTAAAGCTACCTTGTTTTGAATGATATTTAATAACTCAGTGGCCAGTTGTAATTTTGGATATTTCCTAAAATCAACAAGAACCCACCTGAGCCCTGTTTGCACAGAGGAGGGATCTTATGGGGACTTGCCACAGTGACTTTGTTCTCATGACTTTTTGTACAGACCCAGCACTGAGCACAGCAGCCCCACGAGCCCGAATGACTCCGTGGATGTATGCGTGCGGTGTGCTGGGTGCGGTGGGATGTGCCAGCTGGGAACAGATACTGCCATCACTTTGCAGCTAGAGGTGTGAGCCTTATGTGGTCTGCAGTTTCCTGGGCTTCCCGAGAGCCCACACCACTGTATGCACATTGGCCACGCTGAGTGCACGGGTGTGTAGTCTGGTGGGCGTTGCCGGAAGGCGCCCTCCCGACTCGTGCGCTCGGAGCTGGCAGCTGCACAGGAAGGGCTGCGCTCTCCCAGAAGGAGCTCTGCTTGGCTGTGCACTGCCTTTTAGTCTGGACTCCCTGAGGTTTCACTGTCTGGAGTAAACGGCTCTGGATTGGCAGATGGGCCGTAGGTTACCACGACCAGCACCAATGAGAAACAGCATAACAGACTGGCAGATGTTCCATTTCTCTGGGAATTCCGGATGTTTTTACTGTGAAGATGAAATTATTGTAATCGCATGAAGTCTGTTTGTGAAGTGAATCCAGTCTACTAAGAGCCGATTTTGAACCTGTTTCTGTTACACACTGGGTCAGCACTTTGTCTCCCAGAGGACTACAATTATGTGATGTGATTTGTGAATTTCTTGTGCCACAATAGCAGTTCTGGAATGAAGCTAGGAAACTAGAGTGTACTTTCTGTTTAATCAGCATTCACCAAACTGATTTTGAACCGTCTCTTTGGTACTAGTTGGGGACATCGCATACATTTGGTATGTTGAGATCCACTTGTGATGGTACCTAGAGTGGGGCTTCTGGGAGCGTCCTGGACTCTCCAAGACCCACCCCGCGTGATTCAGACAAGTCAGGGTTCCTTTGCCAGGAAAAAAAAGACCCAAGAGATAGAATCAAGGTGTGAAATGCCCAGCTTCAGAAGAATCTCGTTCTCTTTGTGGGGAGTGTCCTCTGGAGTGGTCCACCTGCTTCCTTCCAATGGCCTCCTGTACCACATCCTCTCCTAGCTTCCAGTGTTTCACCACGGAGAGGACATAGGGCAGAGGAACTGGTGAAGCTGCGTCCTAGACCAGCCCCTCCCTGCAAATGAGTTAATATGTGGCAGTTGGGAGCAGATACCAGAGGGCAGCTGGGGTCCAGCTGGAATCTGTGGCCCTTAGTGGGTCTTACCCTGCATGGAACGTGTCCAGACTGCTGTCCTTTCTAGAGCTACCTGAGGGAGCAGGACTTGCTTCCAAATGACTGCAGGCGGGCCATTACGCTTGTGTGCCCCTTCCAGTCTTGGGCTGGTGGTTAGGGTAGGGGTCAGCAGCTGCCACAGCCTGTCCCTGCTAGGTTCCAGGCCTGATGCACTGTCTCAGAACCGATGTCTTCTTGCTGCTCAGGAAGAAGTTGGGGGCGCGCCTGTAACTCGGCTGCGTTGGAACACGAAGCCCGCTTGTATTTAGCAACTTAGTTTTACATTGCAGGTGTTTAAAGATTGTGAGGAATCGGTTGTGGAAATTTTTTTTCTTCATTCTTTTACCAGTTTTTGTGGAGAGGATAGGTAAGTACATTAAGTTTGTGATGATTCTTTGGAAGCGAATTTAATATTTGCACTTCATCTTTGAACACACTCACTTGCCACTGGAACACAGTGTGTTTGTGGATGCAGGTTAATGGCTGGCTAGTTTCAGCTGGCTGGTTTCCTGAGGCCATGCTCATTTCCTGAGAATGAGACCAACTTCTGTCTTAAGCTTTTGTTTAAAGTTCGATGTTGTCATTCTGCTTGTCACTGTGCAGCATCCCATGTGTCAGCTTTTTGTAAGTTTCTGTGCTTATCTGTTTTTAGTGTTTACTTTTGCCAGTTACAGTAATATCACCAAAATAATATGCAGACAGCTTTGAAAAAAATCGAAATCATGAGCATGATAGGAAGGTCCCCTGGGATGTTTGGAGAATGCCTGAACGCCATGCCTGACCATTAATACTGTCAGAGTCAGAAAGACAAAAGGGTGGCTTTCTGGTTGAGAAAGAATGTCAGGCCACCTGGCTGGCTCTGGCCCTGGACGGCTGGAGCACCACAGTGATTTACTCCCCACAGCTTGGCTGCCCTCGTCCTGGGGGTGATTCAGGCTGGAACCCTGTCTGTGCCTCCAGGTCCCATGTCTGATCCTGAGGACAGCTGTGGAGCCAACCCCATCCCTCAGGTTGCAGGACCTGGGCTGGGCCCAGCAGGTGAGGGTGCGGCCTCCATGGCTGGGGTTTACTCGTAAGGGAAGAAGTATCTTGTTCAGAGGAGAAGCAGAACCATTTTTCTTATTCTCAGTGCTATGTTTTCACCTACCATTTGAGAAACCTTGTTCTCCAACAGGACACATCTACACTAACAAAAAGTTTTTTAAGCTGAGTTCTGCATCCCTGGCTGTGCTAATGGAGCTGTTGGCTGGGCTGAGGCCTGAGTGACTATCCCCACTGTGCAGGCTGGGCCCCAGGCAGGTGGACGTGAGACTGGGATTAGCCAGGGCCCTGGAAGCTGGGTGTACAGCCATGTGTGTGGTGGGATGCATGGGGACACCGGCCAGCTGTGTGTCAGTGCTGTTCCGTGGAGCCACACTGCACTTGCCTCCTGCCCTGTCCCTGGCAGCCCTTGGCAGGGGCTGCTTCAAGCAATAACTGTCCACATGCCACAGCCAAGGCCTGCCCCGTCACAGGATTCGGACACTTCACATGGGCATTTGAGTTAAGGTTTTCCTCCATTTTTAGCGAACAGTGATTAGTAGTCATTACCTGTGCTGAGAGGCATTTAAGATGGGAAGTCTAAGAAATGTTCTCATTCAGGAGACAGTCCTATGAAGTTTCTTCCTTCGTATGTGTTTTGTGGTGTTCACTTTTACCACATTCATCCAAAAAGATGATGCAGCTTTAACATGAATGTTACATTTTATTTTCAAGGAATTATTACCTATGTTCCCTTTGTAAAGGAAATATAATATTGTAAATCTTTTTATTAAATAATGTAAAGATGTATATCTGTATTTTTTGATCATGTTATAGATTATGGATATATTGTTTAATAAATAAAGTATTTTTTTGAACAAACATTAGAGAATGCATCATTTTGGGAAATGATAAAACTTCAGCATTGTGTCCAGAGGTGGTGAGTATATCCTATGTTGAATTTTGAAGGAGATGTGAGGTGAACTGGAGAGAGTTGTTTGCTGGCCATGGGCTTGAGTAAGACCCTGGCCTCACCGTGGTTACTGACCAGCTCTGAGCCCCAGCTGTGTTGTAGCGTCAGAAGTTGGTTCCCAGGCTTACAAGAAAGAAGTGTGTGGATGAGAGTGCCATGAGTTGCTGTATGGAGATTTAAAAGTGCTTTGTCTGGAACTGGTTTGCCATCAAGACCTGCAGGGTGTCAAGATCCCTTTGAGGACTAACTAGTTCTTAGGACATTCCTTGAGAGTTAATGGCTGACGTCCAGAAACCCAACGTGGTCACCATGATGGAGAGGCACAGCCTCACTTTCCAGATGAAAATCATTCACAGACCTGGAGTGCACCACAGGCTGTCCGCCTCTGAGCACTCCAAGGGCACTTGTAGCCATTTCTTTGGGTGACTCCCTGGGAAAAGAAAACACCAGCTCTTGGGGGCTGGGGCTGGTCATCCTCACTAGTTCTGAACTGTCCCCAGTCCCCAGAGGTCCCAGATGCTGGTCTAATCAGAGTGGGGCCTACGGCTGTCGTGGCAAGTCACGTTTGTCTGAGTGGCTGTCTCCCCAGGGCCCACCCATGTCACTGAAACAGACCTGACAGCTGGCGGGATGCCCACAGTAACTGACCTGGGAAGCAAGGGCCATTAAGGCAGGAAGGGCCAGGTAGAAGTTTCTGGGTTGGCCTGTCCTCTCCCTGCCAAGACAGTGGTGCAGAGGCAAACACATTCCTGGCAGGAAGGTGCAGTGGGATGTACTCAACACCCCCGATTTACCTGTGGGAATACAGTTTACGGAGACATAGGTGATGACTCCAGCTGCAGCGTTGTTGCCAAAGCACGTCCGCACACTCTTGGCACCAGGCATGCGGCCAGTGGTCTGGCAAGGACCTGGCTATCCTTGGCAAAGCCATCAGTGCAACTCTGGAGTCAGGATTACATGAACACTTGCTGTCTGTCGTCTGGCCACAGACCCTCATCCTTGGGACGTAGAAGAGTATCCCTCCGGTGGGCATCACTGGCCACACAGGGAACTGGAGAGGCCTCAGTAGGACCCCTGGGAGCCAGAGGGTGGGAGAGAACCCTACTCCGCACCAGGACTGTGTTGTCAGGAAAGCAGGAGCCACGCGTGACTGTGACGGTTTAATTCAGGGTACTGGAGGGCCCGGGGAACAGTGACTGCAGGAAGCAGCTACCACCCCTAATCCGGGCGGCCACGGGAGGAAGCATCAGGGAGGGGACTGATTAGGACTCTGCTCTGAGGAGGGCTGGCCTCACAACTGATGGGGAAGTGCCCTTGGGCGGGATTCAGCCACCCGGGGAGTGGGTGCTACCAGGCTGGTGGAGCATTAGCTTAGGCGGGGGGTGCCCGTGGATCTGGGACTCAGACGTCTGGGGCGAGGGCGGCACCCCTGAGGCCATGGGGTGAGGCTGGGAACTGGCACGGGTGCCTCTGGGGTGAGGGCCATTGCTGGGATGACAGGAACGTCCACCAGGCTGCGGCCCCGTCTCCGCGCTGCGGTGGGCGGCGTGTAGCTAGCAGGCCCCACGGAGAGCTGCGGGCGGCGGCCGGCAGGGCCAGGTGGGACCTAGAGGGGCTGGAGAAGGCTGCGGTCCCGCTGTGGCCTCTCGCAGCCCGGCCCCGCCCCCGCCCCTCTGCGGTCCCCTCCCTCGAGTCCCAGGCCAGGGCCTCTGTCCGAGAAAATGTTCCCGCTGCTAGGCGGGCAGCTTTGGGAACCAGCTCGGGTTCTGCCCGCCCTTTGGCCGGAGCGGGCCAGGGCTCGGGGCTCCTGGAGAGAGTCCCCTGAAGGCCTGCAGTAGGAGGGGGGAGTGGGCAGTTTCCCTGGGGGGCCCGTCCGGCGGACTGCGGGGGGGTCGGCCTCGGGGAGGGGGTGGGCGTGTGCCGAGACCCAGCCGGGCGGTGCGGGACGCGGGTCGAGGCTGGCGGTCCCCGCAGTGAGGGCTGTGGACAGCGCCGCGCGCCTGGTCGCCAGGGGCCGCCCTCGCCCTGGGGGCGGGACTTATGGGAGAGGCGGGGCTTGGAGGCGGGGCTTGAGAGAGCGGGGCGGGGCCGGGAGGGCGGCAGTGCGCAGGCTCAGTCCTGCCGGCTCCGTCCACTGGCTCTGGTTGCTGGAGGACGGCGACGGCCGCCGCGGCCGGGACGGGGACGCGGACGTGAGTGCGCGCGCGCGGCCGCCAGGGGTCTGAGCGGAGGGACTGCGGGCTGCGGGGCGGAGCGGAGCCGAGCGGCGACCGTGGTCGCGGATGGCGAGGACGACAAGGAGCGCAGGCGCCCGTCCGCGGGGTCGACCCCGTGCGGGCTGCGGCCACCACGTGACCACGCAGGCTGCGCGCGCCCGGCCGTTCTCGCGGGAAGAGCCAGAGCTCGCTCCGCGTCCCTCCGAGCGCGAGGGCCCGGGGCGGTGCGGCTGGTCCGCCCCTCGCGGGCGGCACGCGGGTGCGGTCGCAGGGCACCGGGCGGCCGGCTCACTTCCCCGAGCCACGCAGCGGGCGAGAGCGCT